CAACAGAACTGCAACACGAATCGGTTTCACAATCTGTGTAAAAAAAATAATAATTAAATTAGAAAATTTTGTTAATTTACATAATATTTATTATGTATTTATAAATTATACTTTTAGGCATTTGTTTTTTATTAGATTTCGGCAAATAATTTTCGGAATTAAAAGCAACCAAAAAGCATTAGACCGTTACCACGGTTTGCACTAAACTGCAATAATGTTGCTACCGCATACATACATAAATATGTACACAATTGTATCTGCTACATTCGCATACATATGTATGTATTCGTAGTTAGTTAGTGTATGTTATAAGGGTGACACAGATACGATTTGAAGTTGTGAACAGTTTCATATTATTTTGTTATTTTTCTGTTTTTTTAGATATTTGTGCGCACATTGACCTACATTTAACAAAAATAAGCATATACATACATACTGAGATACAGAGGAACAGAGCTACAGACAGAACTACACGTATGAATTCTATGCAAAAAGTTCATTGCACCTAATATAAATGCATACATGTATGTATGTATGTATGTTTTTAGTAGATAAATACGTACAAACGAACATGTTGTAATAGTTGTGGTGTATTAAACACACCCACCCACCCTTGTTGCTTTGTAAGCAGACCACGCTTTAAACATGACAATTGTTTATAAACAATATGTATATGGTTTATAGTTTCCGTTATTGTTTGTTAATTAATAATCTCTGTATGTATATACTTACCATCTTTCATAGAACAATTTTCATTTTTCTCAAATGTACTACCCGAACTACTAAAATTATCCTCCGATAAACCGCGTGGTCTTAATTTTGTGGGCGAAGTACTGGCATCGGCTGAATCCTCCGAATTAATAGCTGCCGATTTACGTGAACGTTTTTTATTTTTACTGTGTTCTTTGCGATACAAATAGGCTCCCCTGGAAGAATAAAATAAAAGAAGTATAAAAAATATTTTTTTATTGTTGTTTATTTGCTGCTTACAATTGTAATTGGGCTTTTTCAGCTAAGTCACGCTGTAATTGCCTATTTTCTTCAGTATCTTTAAGCACAAAGTCAGCACTTACTTTACGATCCCATGAACTACTCCAGCCTTGAAAATGTATTTTGTATTGTATACTTTTACGTCCCCTTTTGTCTTTAGTTTCGTACGTTCCTAATATCTGGAAAAATATGTATATATAATTTAGAAGAATTTATTAGTTATTTAAAAATTTTAGTGCTAATTAAACATACATAAATGATTCTTTTTGATAATTAGATTTATGGAGAAGTAAGAATTTATTAGTTCTTTAGGATTTTAGTGCTAATTGAACACACATAAATGATTCTTGTTGATAATTAGATTTATGGAGAAGTAAATTCAGGCATAATTTCCTACATATAATGTTAAGGACTTATACAAAAAACTAGTTCTAGTACCCGAATTTAAATAAAACTGATCTAGAACTGAACTAAATCTGAACTAGATCTGCACTAGAAATGTACTAGAACTGACCTATATCTGAAGTAGAACTGAACTAGAACTGAACTAGAACTGAACTAGAACTGAACTAGAACTGAACTAGAACTGAACTAGAACTGAACTAGAACTGAACTAGAACTGAACTAGAACTGAACTAGAACTGAACTAGAACTGAACTGAACTGAACTAGAACTGAACTGAACTAGAACTGAACTAGAACTGAACTAGAACTGAACTAGAACTGAACTAGAACTGAACTAGAACTGAACTAGAACTGAACTAGAACTGAACTAGAACTGAACTAGAACTGAACTAGAACTGAACTAGAACTGAACTAGAACTGAACTAGAACTGAACTAGAACTGAACTAGAACTGAACTAGAACTGAACTAGAACTGAACTAGAACTAGAACTGAACTAGAACTGAACTAGAACTGAACTAGAACTGAACTAGAACTGAACTAGAACTGAACTAGAACTGAACTAGACTGAACTAGAACTGAACTAGAACTGAACTAGAACTGAACTAGAACTGAACTAGAACTGAACTAGAACTGAACTAGAACTGAACTAGAACTGAACTAGAACTGAACTAGAACTGAACTAGAACTGAACTAGAACTGAACTAGAACTGAACTAGAACTGAACTAGAACTGAACTAGAACTGAACTAGAACTGAACTAGAACTGAACTAGAACTGAACTAGAACTGAACTAGAACTGAACTAGAACTGAACTAGAACTGAACTAGAACTGAACTAGAACTGAACTAGAACTGAACTAGAACTGAACTAGAACTGAACTAGAACTGAACTAGAACTGAACTAGAACTGAACTAGAACTGAACTAGAACTGAACTAGAACTGAACTAGAACTGAACTAGAACTGAACTAGAACTGAACTAGAACTGAACTAGAACTGAACTAGAACTGAACTAGAACTGAACTAGAACTGAACTAGAACTGAACTAGAACTGAACTAGAACTGAACTAGAACTGAACTAGAACTGAACTAGAACTGAACTAGAACTGAACTAGAACTGAACTAGAACTGAACTAGACTGAACTAGAACTGAACTAGAACTGAACTAGAACTGAACTAGAACTGAACTAGAACTGAACTAGAACTGAACTAGAACTGAACTAGAACTGAACTAGAACTGAACTAGAACTGAACTAGAACTGAACTAGAACTGACTAAACTGAACTAAACTGAACTAGAACTAAACTAGAACTGAACTAGAACTGAACTAGAACTGAACTAGAACTGAACTAGAACTGAACTAGAACTGAACTAGAACTGAACTAGAACTGAACTAGAACTGAACTAGAACTGAACTAGAACTGAACTAGAACTGAACTAGAACTGAACTAGAACTGAACTAGAACTGAACTAGAACTGAACTAGAACTGAACTAGAACTGAACTAACTAGAACTGAACTAGAACTGAACTAGAACTGAACTAGAACTGAACTAGAACTGAACTAGAACTTAACTAGAACTGAACTAGGAACTGAACTAGAAAACTGAACTAGAACTGAACTAGAACTGAACTGAACTGAACTAGAACTGACACTAGAACTGACTAGAACTGAACTAGAACATGAACTAGAACTGAACTAGAACTGAACTAGAACTGAACTAGAACTGAACTAGAAACTGAACTAGAACTGAACTAGAACTGAACTAGAACTGAACTAAAAACGAACTAGAACCGAACTAGAACCGAACTAGAACTGAATTAGATTTGCACTATAACATTCATAGATTAAAATCCTTCTTCGATAATAAGTGACTTTGGTGTAACAAATCTCAGAACAGCGCAATTAATGTCTACGACTGCTTCTCCCAATGTATTTAAGATATGTATGCATGTATGTACATGTTTATATTTATTTGCAGCTAGTAATCAAGATTCCCACGATTTCCCTACATACATATGTATATATTACAAATAATTGATGTTTTCTTACCTTGGAATCATAGAGAACTTTTGCTTTCGAAGGATCTGGTTCATAACATAAAACTTTTTCGCCCTTCTCGAAATAACGAGAACGGGGCCCACGTGTTGAAACCATTATCACAAAATAATTTATTTAAACATTATACCTAATTAGATAAAAAAAACACAATATAACTAAAACTTATAATTAAACCGCCAAAAATCCACCGAACTTTAAGAAATTTCGAGTAAATTGCACCGCAAAACAAAAATCGACATTATGATAAACAAAAAATACACATAAAAGAGCGCAAACAGCTGTCATTTACAGGGTTGTAGAATTATACTATTATTACCTAAAAAGGGAAAATTAAAAGGCCAGACTAGTAGTAAATTACCAATTTGTGAAATTTATTGTATATTTTAACTTTGTATTTATACTTAGGTTTATTAATTTACTATGTAATATTATTTTGGCCAAATTGGCGTTTTTATTACTGAATAAATAAATAAATAAGATAATTTTTGGAAGATTTATTTTATTAAATGTTTAGCCAAATTTTATAAAAAAGTCAAACATGTTTTTTATCACATTTTTTTTTAATAATTCCCTTTTTAATGTTTTTTATTGAAGCCCGGCAACTCTGTTGTTTTGCTGCACACCAGCTGCACTGGTGAAAAAAACTTGATTAATGCCCCCAAGTCGAGAGAAAATCAATATTTTGTCATTTTATGCATCTTTATTAATTATTAGCAATATTATTGTTTTAATAAAGTTATATATTTCTTGACTAAAACAATTAAATTACTTTCATTTATAATTTATGATGACTAATACGTAAATCAAACGTGATTTAGTCATATTGCTATATAAAGCACAAAGTACAAACAATATTAAATTAACTTTAAATTAAAAATTAATAATTTTTTCTATTTACCTATCAAATATTAAGCTTGTAATGCATTTAATAAAATAAAAGCTTGTAACTTAGTTCAATATGCATTTAATAAAATAAAGAATTGTTTATAAATAAGACCTTTTAACTTTAATTTAAAGAACAGAGTCTCTTTAATAAATAACTTCAATGTTTGACTAGAAAAAATATATAGTTTATGTCATAATATTAGTCAACGATGTTTAAATCTGATTATTTTTTCATTTAATTAATAACTTTTATATATTTTTGCAAAAATATTGTAAATTATTGTTGATTCATTCCGCATGTTATTAAAAGCAAAGAGAACATTGTAGAAATTTTGACATTGACAGTGATGCAATTTTACAGTTTAAAAGCCACTGCTTCTATATATATACAACACTGTGTAGGCATTAATCATGTTGAAGGTTTTGCACATTTTTTGATAATTTGCAACTATTAAATAAAAATAATAACAAAAACCTATAATTAATATTAGTTTTTTACTATTTAAATAAAACTATTATCAATTATTTTTAAAATTTATCCATTTTCCTTAGTTATTACAAAATAAACAACCACATGATGTTGTTTAGAGCCTACGGAAGTATGGGTAGTTTGTTCCAGAACATTCTAGTGTTTTCGTTTATTTTTGTTTTTCGTATAAATTCAGTGCATGGCCGCTAACCGGCATCAGTCTTGAAAGAAAAATTGTGCAAATAACACCCAAGAATTCCAAACGGGAGAAAGTTAAAAGTATTTTAATTTTCTGAATAAAGAAAAGTCTGAAAAACAATTATAAGTGTGTGGTTGATTAATTTCAATTGCAAAAAGAAAAATAATTTAAAAAGTATTTATTTTTGTGAAATTAATATAAAACAAACACATCAAGGTAAGTTTTTATTAAAAAAGTGTGGATATTTTATAAAAAATATAGTGACAAAACGTTTCTTTTTTTTTTTTGTTCTGTTAAAAAAAGTATAATGTAAAAACGCATGTAATTTGCTATAAAAGACAACATTCAATATGGTTTCAAAATAAAGTTACAAAATAATTGTTCTAGATAAAATTTCTTTGGCCATGACATTTTCAGAAAATTTTGTACCTAGTATAAAAAAAATCACCCCATGCTAATAAAAAGAAATTTCTAGCATGCGATTTTTCATAGAAAACTTTGAAAATATTAAAAAATCTAGAAAATGTAAAGTTGAATTAAAAACATGTTAAGCGAAAATTAGATCCCGTAAATTAAAAATTTTTCGAAATTATAATCGATATTTCATGTCTTTACTCGTTGAAGCGCGGAAAGCATGACGAAAATCTTACTCAAACCACCCTTATAAAACTAGTAATTTTTAACAAGAACAAAACCAATATTAAAAAAAGTAGAGATTTTTTCTATTAAAGATTCTCAGAAACTTCTACCAATCCCACACCCTACGTTTAACAAAAAACGTGCGTCATTAAAAATAATTTACAATATTTTGATCGATAATTTTACTAATAATTTTTCTTTCTCTTTTATTCTCTAAAAACACAGATGCCTGAAGAAGTTGAAACTTTTGCTTTCCAAGCTGAAATCGCTCAGCTTATGTCACTGATCATTAACACCTTCTATTCCAACAAAGAAATTTTCTTGCGTGAATTGATCTCCAACGCTTCTGATGCTTTGGATAAAATTCGTTATGAATCATTGACAGATCCCTCCAAATTGGACTCTGGCAAAGATCTCTACATTAAATTGATCCCCAACAAAGAAGCCGGTACATTGACCCTCATCGATACTGGTATTGGTATGACTAAATCTGATTTGGTCAACAACTTGGGTACCATTGCCAAATCTGGCACTAAGGCTTTCATGGAAGCGTTGCAGGCCGGCGCTGATATCTCTATGATTGGTCAATTTGGTGTAGGTTTCTACTCTGCTTACTTGGTTGCCGATAAGGTTACCGTTACCTCCAAACACAACGATGATGAACAATACATTTGGGAATCATCCGCTGGTGGTTCATTCACTGTCAAACCCGACAATTCTGAACCTTTGGGTCGCGGTACCAAGATTGTTTTGTACATTAAGGAAGATCAGACTGACTACTTGGAAGAGTCCAAGATCAAGGAGATTGTCAACAAGCACTCTCAATTCATTGGCTACCCTATTAAATTGTTGGTCCAAAAGGAACGCGACCAAGAGGTCAGTGACGACGAGGCCGAAGATGACAAGAAGGATGAAGAAAAGAAGGATATGGATACCGATGAGCCCAAGATCGAAGATGTTGGTGAAGATGAAGATGCCGACAAGAAAGATAAGGATGGCAAAAAGAAGAAGACCATCAAGGTTGCCTATACCGAGGATGAGGAATTGAACAAGACCAAGCCCATCTGGACCCGCAATCCCGATGATATTTCCCAAGCCGAATACGGTGAATTCTACAAATCCCTCACCAACGATTGGGAAGATCATTTGGCTGTCAAGCACTTCTCCGTTGAAGGTCAACTTGAATTCCGTGCCCTTCTCTTCATTCCTCGTCGCACCCCATTCGATCTCTTCGAAAACCAAAAGAAACGCAACAACATCAAGTTGTACGTCCGTCGTGTATTCATCATGGACAACTGCGAGGATCTCATTCCCGAATACTTGAACTTCATGAAGGGTGTTGTCGACTCTGAAGATTTGCCCTTGAACATTTCTCGTGAAATGTTGCAACAAAACAAAGTCTTGAAGGTCATCCGCAAGAATTTGGTCAAGAAGACCATGGAATTGATTGAAGAACTCACCGAAGACAAGGAAATGTACAAGAAGTTCTACGATCAATTCAGCAAGAACTTGAAATTGGGTGTCCACGAAGATACTAACAACCGCGCCAAATTGGCCGATTTCTTGCGTTTCCACACCTCTGCTTCTGGTGACGATGCCTGCTCCTTGGCCGACTACGTATCTCGCATGAAGGAGAACCAAAAACACATCTACTTCATCACTGGTGAATCCAAGGAACAAGTTGCCAACTCTGCCTTCGTTGAACGTGTCAAGGCTCGTGGCTTCGAAGTCGTTTACATGACTGAACCCATCGATGAATACGTCATCCAACACTTGAAGGAATACAAGGGCAAACAATTGGTTTCAGTTACCAAGGAAGGTTTGGAATTGCCTGAAAACGAGGAAGAAAAGAAGAAGTTCGAAGAAGATAAGGCCAAATTCGAAAACCTCTGCAAGTTGATGAAATCCATCTTGGACAGCAAAGTTGACAAGGTTGTTGTATCAAACCGCTTGGTTGAATCACCCTGCTGTATCGTCACCTCCCAATTCGGTTGGTCCGCCAATATGGAACGTATCATGAAAGCTCAAGCTTTACGTGACACCTCCACCATGGGCTACATGGCTGGTAAGAAACATTTGGAAATCAATCCCGACCACGCCATCATTGAGACTTTGCGCCAAAAGGCCGACGCCGACAAGAACGACAAGGCTGTCAAGGATTTGGTTATCTTGTTGTTCGAGACCTCTCTCTTGTCATCTGGCTTCTCATTGCAAAGCCCTCAAACTCACGCTTGCCGCATCTACCGCATGATCAAACTCGGTCTCGGCATTGATGAAGATGAGCCCATGACCACCGAAGATGCCCAAAGTGCCGGTGACGCTCCCCCATTGGTCGATGATACCGAAGATGCTTCTCACATGGAAGAAGTCGATTAAACGCTTAATAATGCAACAACTACATTTAGTGTTATAAGTAGTTTTTAAGTTAACACAAACAAAAACAAACACACCTACACTATCATTACCACCCCACCTCTGGAAGAGCAAGCACTAGTGGTGTTGGGGGGATGTTTAACTTAACAACAAACAAGTGTTTGCCGCGTTCTAAGCGGTAAACATCACTCATCATCATCAACTCATTAAATCTAAATTACGTTTTATAATTTTATTGTCGTAAGAAGCAGTTGTAAGGTTTAATTTAAAGCAGAAATTCCAAGCCTCCAGTCATAGCTTAACTTTTTTATATTTAATTTTCTTTTTTTATTCCTCCCATCGATGAATGTTTAGTTTTTAAATGGTTACATTTACATTATATTCTAATTTGATAATTGTAATTGTGTGAAGTGTTCCATTTTTATGCTCTACGTTATAAATTAATATTTAAAACATGATGGACAAACTATATTGTTAATTTTATTAATGATGTAATTTGTTGCTAATGAATTTAACTCAAATTGAAAAAAAAAGAAATTTAATGTAAAAATAAAAAAATGTTTAAAAAACTTAAATTTATTTTGTATTTTTATTGTAATTGATACGGGTGGACTTGAAAAAAACTGTTATAAAAATATAAACAAAACAATTCGAAAAAATAAAATTTTCTTTTTTGAGAAACAAAGTTTTTTCTAGAAAGAAACTATTGTACAGAAACAAATTCATTCAAAAAACTTTTTTTTTAGAAAAAAAAAACAAAAATTTTATTTGAAAAAACTTAATCGAGAAATTTTCTGAAGAAAAAACTGTTATACAGAAAATTACCATGGATTAAAAAAAAACTGTTATACATAAAATTTTCTTTAGAAAAAATATCTAGATAAAATTTCCTTTAAAAGTAACTGTAATACACAATAATAGAAAAAAGTGGTTATTGATATTCCACTGCGGCATCCCTAGCACAATCGAAGTTCTTCCCATAACTAGAACGAATCAAAAATATTTATTTCGCTTTATTTTAAAATAGAAATTTGTTTCCAATAAGAAAGTTTATTCGTCACCTAAAACGCAAATGACCCTAAAACTCATATAGCCAGAAAACTATTTAAATTTGAAGAAAAATTTTCTGTCAGCGCGATTTATTTTTTACTAAATTAACAAATTGTTTAATAGTGAAACCTATAATTTATTATGATAGTTAACAATGGCGTGTATAAAACGTAATAAATTTGACTTTTTACCTTTAATATTTAAATGATTTTGTAGATAGAGCCTTTAAAAATGGCCAATTTTTGTCGGATAAGTCCAATTTTTTGCGGACATTAGAATCAACTTAGAGCCGTTTGCGTTTCAGGTGACGATATGTAGTTTTCTGTATTAAGATCATTAACGCTTTTCCCCCTAGCAGTATAAATAATTATTTACGATAGTATTAGCTGGCAGTTTAATATTAGTTTCAATTTAATTCATAAATTATACAAGTACAAAATTTATATTTTTTAACTTAATTCAATTCAATTTCTAACCAATTTCTTTTCGTATACATTCCTCTATGGTTTCCGGTGTTGAGACTCCTTTACTAACCAATACAATCTTGTGGCGTGAACGGCAGCCTTTATCCAACGACACATCACTTTTTCTGAGATTTAAAACCTTTGAGAGATATTTGACCAATTCTGCATTTGCTTCGCCCTCTGAAGGTGGTGCGGCAATTTGTACACCAACTCCTTCAGTGGAAATGTCGGTAATACCATTATGTTTTGCACCCGGTTTAGCTAAGATTTTAATGGTAATATTGCCGCTTTTGTCCAATTGTATTGGTTGGTCATCATTGCTGCTGCCGGCCTGTGTAGCGGCCGCAGTTTGAGCTGTTGCTGCATTAGATTTCTTTTTACTTTTCGACATGGTGTAAGCAGTAGTTTGGAAAAATCTACGCATATATTCTAATGGATTGTTATTTTTAATTTATAAGCTTATCATTTATATTTATTTATACGTAAATATTTGTTTTTTTTTTCTATTAATAAACATATGTAAACAGTTCGGAAATCACTGGTTATGCAATGTTGCCATATTTATAAGATTGCACAAAGCTGATTTTTAAAACGAATCAGTTAGCTCTGTTCTCCATTGGGAATGATTCTCTGTGAATACTAAAGGGGTTTCACATTTGTTTTTTTTTATTAATGCAAAATACTATTTGAAAATATTACATTTATACATTCATCACAAAAAAGCTGATGATGTAAATTATTCAATAGTTTATTTCAATTAATTTAATAAATTTTATTTACTCTGATTAAATGTAAGCATAATTTATGCCGCCGCTGAAATTTTTATAGTCTGTCGTCGTCGTAATGTTTGTCGGCATAGATCTCTGAGGAAAACAAATACAAATTGTTATAAATAAAACTATTTATTTTATACAACTTTAACACTTCTAACATAACACACATAACTATAATGTACAACGGCGAATGTATAGCTATTAAGGATATTAAACCCGGTCTTAAAAATATCAATGTTATATTCATAGTACTCGAAATAGGAACCGCCACAGTGACTAAGGAAAATCGTGAAGTTCGAAATTTCAAAGTTGGCGATCATACAGCCTGCATTAATGTTAGTATATGGGACGAACCTGGTAAGCTAATAGCTCCGGGGGATATAATAAAATTAACCAAAGGATATGCATCGATATGGCGTCACTGTTTAACTTTGTACTCGGGCAAAAATGGAGAAGTCTATAAGATCGGAGAATTTTGTATGACCTTTAACGAGGCGGTCAATATGAGTGAACCGAAGAGACCGGAACAGCAGCAGGTTGGTGGTGTAACTGGTGCCATAACACAGGCCGGTGTTGGTGGTGGCATGGTCTTGAGTCCGGCCCAAATGCCGGCAGGTGCAGTTGGTGGTGTGGCACCAAATGTGGTTGTCAGCGGTCAAGCTCAACAATTAACGGCCGGTGTAGGCGGTAATGGCAACACGACACCAGGAGTTCAACGCTTGCAACCGCAAGCCATGGGTGTGGCGGTAGTAACTGGGCCTGGTGGTGGTGGAGCTGGTGGCGGCGGCAATGTACAAGTCGTGCCAAAAACTGTTGCTGGTATGCAACAAGTTGGCATAATTGGTAATGGCACCTCAGCAAAAACGAATACCCTAGGCGCCACAGTACCACCTCCTGCCAGCGTTACCACAACCCAGACACAGGCGAAGACCAATAGAGGCGGTCGTACTAATATAACAAGAGCTAGTAATATAAAAACCGAACGAAGATGAAGTTTTACTTAGTTATAAGACGCAAATTTCACATTTTAAGTAAAAATTACTTTAAGAAAAACACACAAATACATTAAAAACAAATTAAAATACAATTCAAAGTTTTATTTATTAAATTACACATGAATTATCCTCACAACAGTTTAAGATATGTTGTGGCAATGATTCGTCGCTTAATAAACCCTGAACTAAACGTGGTCGTACCAAAGTAACCAATGCTCCTAGCAAACATTCTGAGGGATACGTTTTTAGCTCTGCAGACTTATGGTACACTCCATCGTTAACATATAGAACATCTATACCACTTTTAATACTGTTGCGTAAAATTTTATTCTGTATAAGAACATCCATGTCTTCGGTAATTATATCGGTCAATAAGTTGGTAATGTTGTCAGCTTTAAATTAAAAGAAAAATAGTTTACGAGGAAGGACTATAAATATAGAATAGTCTGACCTATAGTACGAATAGTCTTGACTGTAATCATATCTATAGACTATAGCTTAATCTATGCATAGTTTAGTTAATAGTCTAAACTATATTCTGGGATATAGATTAGTCTATAGTTTGGACTCTACTCTATTTTTCAATATTCTATAGTCTACAGTGTGGATTATAGTTGAGACTGTAATCTGTACTAGAGTTTATTCTAGATTATAGTTTACTTTTTAATCTGGACTTTTTTTAGTTTTCTGGACTATGGTTTAGCCTATTGTCAGTCTATAGTTTAGTATATAGTCTGGATTATTATATATTTGTCTATAGACCATAGCTGGACTACAGTATCTAGTATAGTACATAGTTTGATCTAGGTATAGTTAAGTTTATAGTTTAGTTCAAATGTTACCTTTAATCAAATATATAACATTTTCTTTATCCCATGGAATTGCTGTCAATTCAATATTCTTTACTAAATGTGGATTTTCAACACCATTTAGGTTAATATTATAAACTTCATTCGGGCATATAGGCTGAGTATGAGAAGTGTTTAACTGGAAATTAATTTACAAAGAATAAAATATGTATATTTATTTTAAACTTCTAGTACACACCTTATATTTCTTCTGTTTAATTGCATTTAATATTTCCTCGGTGGCGTATATATTTCCCGAGTAATCCTTTGGCAAAAGTTTTCCCTCCAAAGCTGTATTGTGGCATAATAATAGAGGAGCTTTCTGACAAGCATTTTAAACAAAATTATGTTAGTTATTTTAAAAGATTTATAGACAAATACGACAAACCTGAAACTCTTCAAAATTTAGATACGTTTTAATAGGAGTTAATAGAGTTGGTTGACCAAAATAATTTAAAAACATATCACTCAATGAACAATATTCCTAAGTTGTTCAATGCCTAATAATATAAATAATAAATATGTATATATTTTTTTTAAATTGTTGGTCAAACAAAAAAAAAATCACCATAAATTGATATCCTTAACATATATATAGAGGTTGCCAGGTTTTTATTGATAAAAATTTGGGTGTGCAAATCGTTTTATATGTTCTTTTGTAAAAAGTCGAAAAGTAGATTTTTATATGAAACAAAAAACTTGGCTTTATACGACTCCAAAAGAATGCTGTTTCCTTGTTTCTCATTAAAGCTCTTGAAGTAACAATTGTTTGGCATTAAAAAGCGAACTCTAGCCAATGACGGATGACCATTAAATGGGCCGTGTTTGTCAGTGATTATTGCAACCGTAAAAATGAAAACAAATACATGCACATATATTTTTAATTTATGGTTTTCAAATTGTTTATTAAGTAAAAAAATTAATATACATATTTATATATAGTATATATTTAATATTATGAATTTATATCATATTTATATCTTTATACAAAAGAAAAGTATAATAAATTTGAATTTGATTTAATATAAATTTTTATCTACTAGCACTTAGCACTTAATGAACGGAAAAGGTAAATTATATTTAAAAAAAATAAACCGAGTAGTAAGAAAAGCTATATATGAACAAATGTTTTTGAATATAACATTTAAGAAACAGTACAAATATCATTCTTTTCTTTCCACGAACAAACAAAAAGGAATGCATTTAAAATATCGAGAGAAAGCATACTACAAACTAAAACATATTTTGTAACAAGATTTTATCAAAATATGTGTAAAAAGACATAATTAGCAAATTTTATATTGTAGTTTAGTTTAAGGTCGGTCTTTAACATTTTTGTTTACAATTGTTTGTTTTAGCAAAGTTAAAAAACACATCTTTTCTTTTTTGTTCATTCCTTTTTTGGCTAATAATGATTGACTGCTTTTTTGGTTAACTTGTCTTGTCTTAGTATTTTGTTGTAGCATGGAAGTTGTTGTTGTTGCTGTGAGCTTGGTGTGTGAGTGGTTAAAATGTGTATTGTTGTTATTGTTAAATTTAGCCAAAGAAAAATGCTTCCAATTTCAATAAGTTTAAATCATTTACGCTGCTCGAATGGATTGGATAATTTGGAAAATTGCTGAGCCACAAACAACAAAAATGAAAAGTGCTAAGAGCCAGGGTCCAACGGGGTATTGTCCTTCTTTAGCTTTCTGTAAAATATATAAATGGGAATTGGTTAATAAAGAGTAAAGTAAAAGAATAAAAATGAATAAATAATTGTTAAAATAAGTAGAGGGACACATGTTTAACTAGATGTACCTATTTGGAATAAATTAGAATAAAGAATCTATCGATCTTCCTTATGTATATCTCTTTTTAAATCTATGTAGGTAGGTTTCTATTTATCTATCTGCCTATCTATCTATCTATGTATGTATGTATCTATGTATCTATCTATCTATCTATCTATCTATCTATCTATCTGTCTATCTATCTATCTATCTATCTATCTATCTATCTATCTATCTATCTATCTATCTATCTATCTATCTATCTATCTATCTATCTATCTATGTATGTATGTATGTATGTATGTATGTATGTATGTATGTATGTATGTATGTATGTATGTATGTATGTATGTATGTATGTATGTATGTATGTATGTATGTATGTATGTATGTATGTATGTATGTATGTATGTATGTATGTATGTATGTATCTATCTATCTATCTATCTATCAATCTATCTACCTATCTATCTATCTATCTATTTATCTATCTATCTATCTATCTATTTATCTATCTATTTATCTATCTATCTATCTATCTATCTATCTATCTATCTATCTATCTATCTATCTATCTATCTATCTGTCTATTTGATGTATGTAGATGATAGCAATTTATCTATCTCTCTATCTAAAATGTGCATATACCGTTACAGAAATATTTGGCAAAATTTTGGCCGGAACGGGTTCAGACTATATTTAAATATACATATTAAATCAATTACAACAACGCATATCGGATTACCCTATATTATGCCTAATTCACAGAATTGTGACACGTTTTAGTTTGACCACTATAAAAAAAATCTTATCTTCTAAAAATCTAATAAAACATAAGCTATTTTCAACTACAATAACGACAGTGAACTATAAAATATGTTATGTTTTGTAATTTAACAACATAACGGAACTTCAAAAATATGGTTAAATAAAGAAAACAAAGAGAAAAACCAGATATTAATAATACACACAGGAATACCAAACATAGAAAAAAATCAAACAAAAACACTTGGTAAACATGTTGGCGTGGCACTTTCGCCATTAAAATGCATTTATCGAATAACGACTAGAGAAGATTATTCGAACAATAACAAATATTATTATAACATCATAATACAATAAGAAACAATTGCATTTGAGAGATATACCTATAATAATCATGTTTTAATTATTGATGTCTGTTGAACTTACCGAAGATTTTGGTACATTGCCACGCATTGTAATATATTTGCTGGCTTTTTCATTAGCAACGCGCATTCTCTGTGGTGGGGCCATTTTTATTTCGTTGTTGTTGTTTGGATTTTTTTGTACAAAGGCTGTAAAATGTCGAAAAAATAGCAAAATTTAGTTTAATGATTCCCTTTTTTCTAATTTTGTTGTAAATTTATCTATTCTACTGAATGTTAAAGTACTTTTTTGTTTTAATTAGCTTGAAAATATGATTAATCTTTAAACACTTTAATGTTTTAATAACAAACACTTTTAATTTAGTAACTATTTCTTTAAATTTGTATTTATAGTAATATTATAATTTATATGTTATATTTTTTATTAAATAATTTTCCAGAATAAAAAAAACGTTCGCACCTTCTCTTCTTCGTAAATAAAATGACACGTAAAGACGAAACCGACACGTATAAAAACAAATGTAAGAAACAGAGTACTGCGTCGCACAAAACTAACAGCGGCGGTGGCTGACGTTAAAAATTGTACGTCGTCATAAAATCCACCGTTACAATTTAAAGTTTAAATAAAATAAATACTTCATAAACACTGAACATCTTCAGAAACAAAAAATATTTAAATTATATTATATATATATGATAATCCAATAAATCAAACGATATTATTATGCCATTTGGTATATAAAATGGTATTTTTAATTTTTTCTACATACTTCGCTAAAATAACATAAAAATCCGAAAAAAGAAACATAACATTCATACATACCTTATTTTGTTGCAAATTTTTAAAGTTTTTTAAGATTCCATACATGTGAACTTAACTTAAGCTGAAGAGAAGTTCGAATATTTATTGCTATTTTAATTAGTATTATAATTATATATTTGAACATTTCTATTTTTTGTAAATTATTTTTATGTTTATAATTTTTTCAAATCCTTGCAATAATTATTGGATACATGAATGGATCATGTTTTTTTTAACAATATGATATCATAATCATCTTTAAAAGGTAATACCTAGATTAATATATATATATATAAAACAGTGATAAAAACAACTTCTTTGAATACCCAAACCAACTATCATATATTGTCATGAATCTATCCTTCGCAAAGTGTAATCTTCTGAAAGCTGACACAAAAATTTTACATATGTATATAGATATGAAACATAGATTTATAATTATTCCAAACTCCAATTCTTCCTGGAATTTACTTCAAAGTATATTTTCTATCTTCTTTTATTTTCTTTTCTCAAATGTCCATAAGGGACTTTTTGTACTTACCCTTCTACAAACTCATAAATTCGAAATTTTATCTAACTCCTATTTTTTTTAGTAACACAACTTGCATATTTTGTTTTTTAAATTTCGTTTGACGAGATTTATTACTATTATTTTTTGTAAATTTCACATTTTATCTTTTCAAATATTATATAGTGTGTGGTAGTGTTTTGTTTTATTATTTATTTAAACAATGTTTCATAATAACTAAATGTAATGCAATAAATTATTTACTTGGCGCGGGCAGCCAAAGCAGACAAATCGGCAATACATTTGTTGAGAGTTTCCTTCTCTTGTTGGGGTGTAATGGAGCCCAAAACATTCTTGACAATCCAGTCAACCATGTGTTTTTGGCTAAGGCGACGTTCAATGTGACGGCACTCAACTTGGTAGTCCAAACGACGTTTGACCTTAAAAATATAAATTTATTAAAAAAAAGAAAACAATTTTAAACTTCGTGTAAAGCACATACTTCAGTGTAAACGTTCATGGCGCGTTCACGGAAAGCAGCCTCCAATTGGAGGGCAACATTTTCCTTCTTGGCATCCATGAGCATTAAAGCACCTTCAGCACGCCATTGTTCCTTCTTTTCGGCCTCAATGGATTCTTGAAGGGCCTTCAATTCATCCTCACGACCTTGTTTCCATTCGCCTTCGATTCTGTCGATTTCCTTATCAGCCCAGTTAGCAGCAACGGGACCGAGTTTCTTAACAGCAACGATAGCCATAATGGCCAAGGAAATACCACTGTAGTATTCATGTTCCATGACGTAGATTTCCTTGGAACACAAGTAGGTGAGCAAACCAACACCGAAGGTGTAGGGACCAGTGACACCAGTCTTGTTGTAGAAGAATTGGAACCATTCTTCTGGAATGAAACCCAAACGTACCTTGCCGGGATGTTCGGGGCGAACGGGACGGTCACCACCGGCAGCAGCAGCAGAAGATGAGGTTCTGACAGCCAAAGCGCCCAAAGGACGTTGAACTACAAAATAAATATTATATAAGATAAATAATAGTACTTTTTTATATTTACAAGCACATTTTGTGCCAATTTTTTCACAAGTTTCTAGATTTTTGACAGTTGCTGCGACGACTTTAGCAAGCCGAAGTGATTACATAAACTGTGAAAAAACTTTGTCGTAACTAACGGGGCACACACTTGATTTAAAGGTTAAAGAACACTTGCAAAGCAAATAGATTTTTAGAAAATTATTATTTAAAATGTTTTTTATAATTTTTTAATTATTTACCAGAACGAATTGCGGCCCTCGAAATCATTTTCGTACGAAATTAATTTTCTTCTTTTCTTCCACAAGGAAATTGGTTTTAGACGACAGATCTCCGTTCGATTGCGTTTCGAGGCGAATTTATGCAAAGGTGAGTTTGCAGCTATTGTGAATTGCGACTGTCAAAGTTTTTAAAGTGTTGCCAGAAACTATTAATGTTGGCAAGGTATATTGTTTATCCCAAAAACCAAACGAACAATATTGTTTTTTCATTAATGATATTGTTTTTTCTATAAATATCGTTTTTGCTATCGTAAGTTCCAAAAATAGCGATTGAACTTTTTTCAGATTTTATTTCAAATGATATTTTTGCCTAAAATTATTTTACAGATGAATGAGTTCAATAATAATGTATTGTTTCTGGATAGTGTGTGAGTACTTTGAGTAAAAAATTTACCTTCATTTTGTTTTTGTTACAATAAAAAAATGTTTTACTCAAAGTGCTCATACGTTATCTAGAAAAAACACATTAAAGTTTTTAAATTGATACTCCATAACAAGCTATAAAACATTGGGTATTTTTTGCTTTTCCTAAAACTAGTATAGCATACGCATATGGCAGCACTATACAAGGCGAATTTATAAATTCGCCGTTTACTTCTTCCAGTATTTTGTCAGCTGACATTGACATTTACTGTTGTTTTTTCAAGAATTATAAGAAAATTATTTATAAAAATCGAACTTTATAAAAAATAACACATTTACACAAATTTATATGAATTATTTGTAATTGCCGTTACATAAATTCATTTTCGCCTTAGAACTTCTACATTAACAATAGTTTTTTGGGTTTATGATTAACTCACAATAGTTATGTCTACATATAAATCACAATGATTAGATTCCCATTGGAATATGAGATTTTGCAAACATATTTATTTAGGAAATTGTCGCATATGATAAATAATTATTTAGAATAAAATAAGTGTAAACACTTAAATTAAAACTTATTTCAAAATAAATAAGAAATAACTGTAAATGTTGATATGGCAACATTGTCTTACATGATTTCGCTCATTTCATTCAAATGTCATTTTTACGAAAACATTGGAGAAAAATAACTTTCCATTAAATTTCTGTTTATTTCAAATTTAGAAGAATTATGTATAAACATGTAATAAAATGTGGTTCCAGAACGGCTTTAAATGCATGGAAATCTAAAAATGGTATTTTATTTCATAATTGCTAATTTATATTTATTGTTTAAAATAAGTAAATATGCACGCGTATATATAACACATATAAAATATGTACAAAAACAAAAGGAAAAATTGAGAAGAGTTGCCAAGTTTCATATTTTAAACCAATTTTAGTTATTGTTGAAAATATGAAAATTGAGATTTACAAATGCTGTTTTATATTATAGAAATAATAAGAATAGTACGTTAAATATTCAGATCTAACGCTTTAAATACTTTTAAAACAATTTAAAAATTATCAAATCGGACGTCAAATTGCACCTAAAAAATAATTTCTGCCCTTCTGTTAAATAATATACTGGCAACTCTATAGCAAATGTAAATGACATTTGCCGGCAGGGCGACTGCAAAAAGAGAGAAAGGAAGAAAAACAAAGCAAGTCATCATCTTTTCTCTAGTAGTGGATAGATATTGTGCATTAATTATCGAAAAATTGTTCATTAATTCTACAACTAATTGCAGATTTAAATAAATTGTGTTTAGATTTAGTGAATACAGAATTTGAACAACATTTATGTAAAGGTAAAAGTAAATTTTAAATAAATAACTATCGCCTAAGCAATCCTGCTGTCCTCGTGTATCCCGCTTAAGAAAACATGTACATACATATATATTTATTTTTTTTATGTATGAATTTATATAATTTATGAATAAATATATATAAGAATAACATAAAATTAAACAAAAAATAATTTTCCAGTTAATAAAAGCATTTGTCCCGTTAACCTAAAATATCCAAAACAAAACCAACTACAATTAAAACAAAAACAACAGGGCTTGCAGCAGCTGCAATTACAACAACAAAGTGATTATTTCCAAACGCCACTTAAGAAATCTCCACCACCACCACCGCCACAACCATCCCCAACAATTCAAGTAGTATCAACTTGCCAGCTGTCAACTCGAACCACCGTACACATTCGGCATTTGCAAAGTTATCATCAACGTTGTCGGAACGCGGCGGCTGTTGATTTTAAAACAATTCGTAGTCTCTCCACTTATACTACTACTACCACCACCAATACCACTACTACCGCTTGTGCTAATATAGTTGCTAACAAACCAAAACCTCATTCACTTGTGTGTCGTGTATTAACCCCATCAACATCGTCATACAATAATTTGCAAACATTTTCATATTTACTGAAAAATACTACACTATCGTTAGAGAATTGTCATCTAAATACGCTTATCGCGGGCAAACCATACGTTAAAGTACAAAAACAATTTTATCGTGATTATTCTTCAATATCATTGGGTGCACCACTTAAAAGCAGTGAAGCTCCCCTTTTAGGCGATCTTTGTGAAAAATATCGAGCCATTATAAGTCGTACTTCAGCCGATTTGGCAACACAAACTAAAACTAAAGATACCAACGCAGTATCTGCAGGAAAAGGAGGAAATATGGCCGCTAGTCAGCAGAAGGAATTTCAACGTTTACCCACCAATGTGGTGCCAACGCATTATGAATTGGAATTAAAGCCCAATCTAGAGTCTTTCACTTTTGAAGGCAAAACTAGTGTACAATTACAAGTAAGTATTTTCAGACTTTTTGTTCATTGTTTTTTTTTTTTTTTTTTGTTTTTCTCGAAAAATATGTAAGAAATTATAACTTTAAAATTTTTCTTTTCATCTTTCTTCTGCTTTCACTTTTATTTAAAAAAAGTATTTGTAGTAAGAAATGTGTGTAAAGAAAAACAACAATATTAACAGAAAGCATACACAAAGGAAAATATAAAAATTTGCTAAAGCTTTTACCGAATTTATACCCTACAAGACTATATTGGGGGAGGGTATTATGCGTTTCTGCTGATGTTTGTGTTACCTAAAAGTATTGGATCAGAATAATTTTTAAAGAAACTTATTGAAAATAGTTGAAATCGGTCACTTATTTCAACTAGCCCCCATCGAATAGTGCTGTAAATGTTAAAAGTTCTAATATTTTTACAAAAACCTAGCCCTCTTATAAAGTCCCTCTCAGAAAATGGCTTGAAAGTCTGTAATTATCTTATAAACACTAGTATCACTATGATAAATAACTTTTAAGTAACCGTATCGGCCCACATTTAATCGTTGCCTCCATATTAAGTTTTATTTAGAAAATCTCTTTATTATCAATAAATTAATAAAATATTTCGGAGTTGAAATATTCCACATTGTTAACTCATAACTGGCGTAGAGTATCATATGGTCGGCTATGCCCGACTATACATTCTTACTTATTATTTTAATAAATTGTATGCGATTTTTTAGCATAATTCATGTGTTTGTTCTTCTTTTATTATCTTTCTTATTATACACTACACTATTATAGTGAGTTTGTGCTAGAGTTTATGACAACCAAAAATATTGGTCTAACACTCATATGAAAATATAAACCTTGTGCCTCCGTCCATCTGTGTAAGATTTTTTAACTAAACTTTTTTTATAATCATTCTTTATTTTAAAGATAATATGATGAAATTTGGCACATGTTTTTCTTTGACAAGAAAAATTAAAAAAACTGATTTTTCAATAAAAACTAATTTTCATTAGGATATCACATAGTCGGACTTGATGGTCTATATTTTCTTAATTGTTTTTGTTTTCTTTTTCTTATATATTGTTTTTGATTATTATCTTAAAATACTTTATACATATACACACGTACGTAAATAAGTTTAAATGAGTGTACATTATTTTGTATAAAGTATGATGTTGCATTTTTATTATTGTATTCAACTGTCAGAGCTTAAAATAAATTATTTCTTTAGCGTACACTGTACAGTGACATGTTTATGGTTTTTATATTGAAAATTTTAATTTTATTACAAACCTACATACGTATACGCCCCTATGGCCGCCACAACTAAAAACAGAAATCAGAAATGCATTGTTTGTTGTTTTATATTTCCTTGGTAATCTTTTATTAAGTTATTGATCATTTTCCTCAAAATAGGTTTTTATAACTAAACTTATGACTTAAAATTTTTACGCAATTTTATGAGCTCCTCTTATAACATTTTCAAAATCCAGAAATTGAAATATGGGTGAAATCGTGGTTGCACTGGAATTGTCTTTCCAATGAATGTCAGATTGTTAGCTGAGTATTTACAATAATTTCGTTTTTTTAAAAATATTTGTTTTTTTCGATCTTCTTTTTTCTTTCGAAAAATCTGGTTTTGTACTAAAAAATTCGATTTTATTAAAAAAAAACATTAGAAATCCAATTTTATATTAAAAATATGGATTTTGTACTAAAATCTGATATTGTACTAAATATCAGATTATGTACTAAAAAAATTTTTTTGACCAAAAATTACATTTTTTACTTAAAATGAGATTTTGTAATAAAAATTAAATTTTCAAAAAAAAAAAAAAAAAAAAAGATTTTATATTAAATATTGCAAAAAATCTGATTTTGTATTAAAAATTCTATTTTTAATTAAAAACATGAGATTTTGTACTAAAAACTAATTTTATACAAAATATGTATTCTAATTTGTACTAACAATTAGATATTGTACTAATAACTTGATTATGTGCTAAAATTTCGATTTACTAAATTGATTATGTACTAAACATTCGATTTTGTACTAAAAATTCGATTTTGTACTAAAAATCAAATTTAGTACTAAAAATCCAATTTCAATATAAAATTATCATTTTGTACTAAAAATCTATTTTTTTAAAAAATTCCGATTTTGTAAAATATCCGACTTTTAGTAATATATATGTACTAAATATTCGATTTTTTTACTAAAAATTTAATTTTGTACAAAGAATTCAATTTTGTACTAAAAATCAAATTTATTTATTTTATTCATTTATTTTGTAATATTAAGCCTTCACGGCCAAAATATCAATATTACATAGTAATAATAAAAATCCAATTTCAATACTAAATACCGATTTTTAAAAATTCATATTTTGTACTAAAAATCCGTTTTTTTTTATAAAATTCCGATTTTGCAAAATATCCGACTTTTAGTAATATATATGTACTAAATATTCGATTTTTTTACTTAAAATTTAATTTTGTACAAAGAATTCAATTTTGTACTAAAAATCAAATTTATTTATTTATTTATTTTATTAATTTATTTTGTAATATTAAGCCTTCACGGCCAAAATATCAATATTACATAGTAATAATAAAAATCCAATTTCAATACTAAATACCGATTTTTATAAAATTCATATTTTGTACTAAAAATCCGTTTATATAATTTGTTCTTATTTATTTAAAATTCTATTATGTACTAAAAATCCAAAAGTATGTTTTAATAACTTATTTTAACATTTTCTGAAAAAATTTAAACCCAACAACAACATTCTCGAAAGCATGTCATACAGAATTATGAAATGGTATTTTTAAAAATTACCTAAAAACAACAATATATAACTTAATTTATCAATACCATAGCGATTTTAATTTATCACTTCTAAAAAGATCACAAGCCACTGTGCAGCGCAAAATAAACAATTTAAAAACTATATCATCTGGTTTAACCGGTAAAATAAAAAAATAACAATACAATATTATAGCTTGTGCCGTTAGCTTAAAGTTGCACAAAAAAAAACCTATAATAACTTAGCTTAAAGTCAATGTTCTTTAGTTCTGAATGATCGTATACGTAGTAAAGTAAAAGTAAAAAAAGTTAAAAGTTTTTTGCTCAAATCAAGGTCGCTTAAGATTATACATACATGATTATGTATTTGTATTCTTAGCTTTCGTACCTTTATAGTTTCGAAAAAAAGAAATAATATAAGATATTAAACTTTACGAATTTGCGCCATAATGCCATTAAACAATATAATACAAACAGAAATTCACAACAAGCTAACAATATGTGTGTGTAGTAACATTTATTTAATAATCGCATCGAATAAACAAGTTTTTTTCTTTCATAATCTTTAAGCGGCTACATATTTAAAAAGTATTTATTGTTGTTGTTGTTACATCCCAGAGGAAAACTATTAGAGAGATATTAAATATAAAATGTGACATTTAGTTTAGGATACAAAAAAAACTGAGCGCTATTCAATATTATTTTCGAAAATTTAATTGTTATAATGATCTCTAAGATCTCGAGGAATCTTAACAAAACTTCGAAATTTTTTGCTTATGTTGGATAACTTTTTAAAACTGTTAAAAAAAAAACACAGGCCAACAAAATTTGATAAAAAAAAAGTCAAAATCCAGAGACCATCCTCCATGACATCGTTTTTTTGAGACATCGTATCTTATTTAGCCATATTTGAGACCTTATAAAAGCGGGAAGATACTTTTATTTATAAAATGAGTTATGTCGTCTGAAAATTCAATCTATCAACTTTAAAATAAAGCTTTAACCTCTATCATGTCTTCATCATACTCTGAGATATCTTAACTTAAAGCTTGAAAATGAGGCATAAGATATCTCGAAGAAGTAGATTAAACCTTTTTTTTTAAGTCGACAGACTGGACTTTCATATTTCAGATTTTATCAACAAAGATGTCTTTGCACTGTTATAACGATTCAAATATTGTCAAAAATGGTGATTTTTCAGTTTTTAGAACACGATATCTCAAAAACCTTATGTATTGGAAAATTCTGATTTGGATTTACCTTTAGAAAAGTATACTTTAGTCTTTGGGTTAAAAATTTGTCGGCCTGTGTAATCTATAAAACTGATTCATTTATTAAAAGTAAACTTTTATAAAATCTTTTTAATTATTAAAAAAAATTTCCAATTTTTTTGGGATTTATTAGTTTTGATGTCTATCTATATATAAATATAAACATTTTTAAATATGTGCGAAAATTCTAACTTATGTTCGAACCATTTTTAAAATTCTAAAAATAGTTTTAAAATCAAATTCTAATTTTACATTCCGAACTTAAAAATTTTAAAAATAAATTTCAGATTTTCATGAATTTTATAGTATTTTTTAAGGTAGTTTTAGATTATAAGCTTTTTAAGATATGTTCGAAAATTCGAACTTATGTTCGAAACATTTTTGGAACTGCAGAAATAAATTTTAAATCATGAGGATATAAAAATATACATATTTTATTTTTTTATTTTTTGCCAATTTCTAAATTTGAACTTCGAAAATTTTGAAAATAATTTTAAGATTTTTTATTTATTTTCAATATTTTTTCAGAATTTCGAATATATGTATGTATTTGAAAACTTTAAATTAAACTGCCTAATATATTTTTACTTTTTCAGAAATATTCAAAAATTCTAACTTATATTGGAAAAAAATTAAAATATTAAAATTATGTTCGAAAATTCGAAATTGCTAAAATAATCTTTAAAGCATGAGAACTAATAAAAATATAGTATTCTGGCTAATTTCATTCTATAGTCGAATTTCGAAATTTAAAATATTGAAAATAATTTGAAAATGTTTATGAATACTATATTATTTTCAATGCAATTTCAGAATATAAGCATTTAAAGTCAAGTTCGAAATCAAAATAATCTTTAAAATATATTAAAAAATATATTTTTTTTATATTTATGATAAAGTTTTTGCCATTTTCGAAATTTAAAAAATAATTTAAAGAATTGTATGGATTTTAAAGTTTTTCAATGTTCGAAAATTTTTTGAAACTGTTAAACAAGTTTAAAAAACTCAATTTTAAATCGTAGAATATCCAGTTTATCTTTAGAAAATAATAATAAAATCCGTATATCGAATGAATGAAATCACTAAATTTTATTAAATGATTAAAAATACCAATTTTTAATTAACTAGTTTTAAACTAAACTTAATAGTTAAATTAAAAGGAATTAGCTAGTATTTATTATAAACAAAATTAACTTAAATCATCAAAACTGCATTGAAATATAATTACTTTAGGTTAAATATCTTAATAGTATTTTAATTAATATTATTACTTGTTTCAGTAATGTTTTTTTTTTTTTTTTGTAATAAATTACTATATTTTTGACACCTAATGCCGGCAACTTTTGTTAAAAATTTGCATAATTTTTAAACATTAAATAACAATGTTGTAAATGATGTCTCTAATTTCAGATTGCTAAAGCAACCAGTGAAATTACATTAAATGCTTTAGATATCACTATAAATAGCAGTGAAATCGAGGTGAATGGTGAAATATTGAAACCACTTAAAGTTAGCTATTCTACCGAAAATGAAACGGCCACGCTGTTGTTTGAAAAAGAATTACCCGAGGGTGTGGTTGGCAAATTGAGTATGTCTTTTACAGGCGAGCTTAATGATAAAATGAAAGGATTCTATCGTAGTAAATATTTCACCCAAAGCGGTGAGGAACGTTATGCTGGCGTAACACAATTTGAGGCCACCGATGCTCGCCGTTGTTTCCCCTGTTGGGATGAGCCTGCTATAAAATCTACATTTGATGTGGCTTTAGTAGTGCCCGAGGATCGTGTGGCGTTGTCGAATATGCCTGTCAAAAGTGAAGATTCATTGGCGGGTGGTTTACGTCGTATTAGTTTTGATCGTACCCCTATTATGTCTACCTATTTGGTGGCTGTAGTTGTGGGTGAATACGATTATGTGGAGGGCAAATCAGAAGATGGTGTTTTGGTTCGTGTCTACACGCCAGTGGGCAAGAAGGAACAAGGTTTATTTGCTTTGGAGGTGGCCACCAAGGTTCTGCCCTATTATAAGAGTTATTTCAATATTGCTTATCCTTTGCCTAAAATGGATTTGATAGCAATTTCTGATTTCTCAGCTGGTGCTATGGAAAACTGGGGTTTGGTTACATACCGTGAAACTTTTGTTCTGGTGGATCCCAAAAATACTTCCCTAATGCGTAAACAATCGATTGCTTTGACAGTTGGTCATGAAATTGCTCATCAATGGTTTGGTAAGTCAATGTTTTTTTACATAAAATTGCAAAACATTAATAACTTATAACTTTTCAGGCAATTTGGTGACCATGGAATGGTGGACACATTTGTGGCTTAATGAAGGCTATGCTTCCTTTGTGGAATTCTTATGTGTTCATCATCTATTTCCAGAATATGATATCTGGACCCAGTTTGTTACCGACATGTATACACGTGCTTTAGAATTGGATTCATTAAAGAACTCTCATCCCATCGAAGTGCCTGTAGGTCATCCTTGTGAAATTGATGAAATTTTCGATGAAATCAGTTACAATAAAGGAGCTTCGGTCATACGCATGTTGCACGATTATATTGGTGAAGATGACTTCCGCAAGGGTATGAATATCTATTTGACACGCCATCAATATAAGAACACCTTTACCGAAGATCTTTGGACTGCTTTGGGAGAGGCTAGTTCCAAGCCAGTGGCTAATGTTATGAGTTCTTGGATTAAACTTAAAGGTTTTCCCGTTGTGAGTGTAGAGTGTGAGCAATTGGAAGGTAATAAACGTTTATTGCGTTTAAAACAAAATAAATTTACTGCCGATGGTTCGAAACCAGATGGTGACTACACCTGGGTTATACCCATAACCGTTTCTACCTCGAAGAATCCCAACAGTATTGCCAAGACTTTCTTATTAGAGCAGAAATCAATGGAAGTTGTATTGGAAGATGTTAGTGCTGATGATTGGATTAAAATTAATCCCGGCACCGTGGGTTATTATCGTACCCGTTACTCCAAGGAAATGTTGGAGAAATTAATGCCTGCTGTACGTAACATGGAATTGCCCCCCTTAGATCGTTTGGGTCTTATCGATGACATGTTTGCTATGGTTCAAGCTGGTCAAGCCAGCACTGCTGAAGTTTTGGAACTCATTGATTCGTATCGCAATGAAACTAATTATACTGTATGGACTGCCATCACAAATTCTTTGTCAAATTTGCATATTTTAATATCACACACTGATCTAATGGATCATTTTAATAAATATGGCGAAAAGCTTTACCGTCCAGTGGCCGAACGTTTGGGCTGGGAAGTGCGAGAGGGTGAAAATCATTTGGATACTTTGTTGCGTAGTCTGGTGTTGTCACGTTTAGTATCCTTCCGCTGTAAGGATATTATTGCAGAGGCTCAAAAACGGTAAGTTATTCCATTTAATTATGTATCTATCTTATTTATTTATTTATTTATCTATCTATCTATCTTTCTATCTATCTATCTATCTATCTATCTATCTATCTATCTATCTATCTATCTATCTATCTATCTATCTATCTATCTATCTATCTATCTATCTATCTATCTATCTATCTATCTATCTATCTATCTATCTATCTATCTATCTATCTATCTATCTATCTATCTATCTATCTATCTATCTATCTATCTATCTATCTATCTATCTATCTATCTATCTATCTATCTATCTATCTATCTATCTATCTATCTATCTATCTATCTATCTATCTATCTATCTATCTATCTATCTATCTATCTATCTTTCTATCTATCTATCTATCTATCTATCTATCTATCTATCTATCTATCTATCTATCTAATGTATTTGTATTTCTTTCAGTTTCCGTGATCATGCCAATAATGTTTGCCCAGTACCAGCCGATTTACGTTCTACTTGTTATAAGGCCGTTTTACAAGATGGTGATCAAGCCATTTTTGACGAAATGCTTTCCTTATATCGCGCTAACCGACTTACATGAGGAACAAGATCGTATTTCGCGTGCTTTAGGTTGTATTGGCAATGTGGATATATTGCGTAAAGTTATTGAATTTGCAATGTCGGTAAGTCGTTATTAAAAGCGGATATTTTGTTAAATATGTTATTCAAATGTTTTCTTTACATCAGGGTGAAGTACGTGCTCAAGATTCTGTTTTTGTTATTGTTGCCGTTGCTGTTAATCCCAAAGGTCGCGATATGGCTTGGCAATTCTTTAAGGACAATAGTCAAAAACTATTGGAACAGTATCAGGTAATTATTCGAAAAATAACACATTTTAAATCTATATCTTAAAACTATAAAATCTGCTTTCTTTTTTCTCTACAGGGTGGTTTTCTATTGGCACGTTTAATTAAATATTTAATTGAGAATTTTGCTTCGGAAGAACGTGCCCTTGAGGTAGAGGAATTTTTCAAAAACAAACAATTCCCTGGCACTGAACGTACCGTATCACAAGCTGTAGAAACAATACGTCTTAATGCCGCCTGGTTAGAAAGAGATCGTGAATCCTTGACAGCCTATTTGAAAAAAGAATAAATGAAAGGCAGACAGATGTATATGCTAAAAATTAACTTTGCAAATGATAGAATTAATATAAAAAAACCATAAGCTACAACATTAAAACCAAAGCCATTTATACAAACTATTAACAAAACCCACTTATTATTAAATACATACATACATTTTTTTAACAAAATTTATATTTAATTTATTGTTCTGTTGTGTTTATGTTTGAGACACACACAATTTATTACTTTTTTTGTTATTTGTAATAACATTTTCTTATTTTTTTGGCCATAAATGAAAGAATTTCGTTTTCATATTACAAACAATTTTGTGTTTTGTTACAATTTTAACGAATGTATTATGTTAGAAAAAAATATTAATGAAATTTATTATGTGCATTTGCTAGAGTTATAAATTATTATATTAGAATAAAAAAAAAGACCAATAAAAATTGAGGGTTTATAAAAAGTATTAAAAAAAACTCATTTAAATCAACTGTAGATTAATGATGATGATTATCGATAATGATTTTAAAAGTACATTTGGCCTTTTTGCTCTTTTTTAACGTCTAGAAGACATACATATGTATGTGTTAGGAATCATGAAGTTCATCAATAATATCCAACATACGTTTTTTAAATAAACGTTGTTTTCGTTTCGATAATGTTAAAATATCATCAATACAACCGCGAAAAAATTCGACTAACTGTTGCTCTTCTCTTTGACTAAACTGTGGAGAGTAGTACTTTACTGCAGAAACATTTTTATAATTATTCAGTTTTGAATCAAATTCAATATTATTTTGTTCATTAATCATAGACGTATCACTTCTGCTAAGATTGTTATTTGTAATAACTTCTATACCATTAGACTCCTTATGTTTTGTTGATAATTGCTGATGTTTATCTTTACTATTAGCATTTTCAATACTTTTTGTGTTTTTATTATGTTCTAGTATCTTAAAAATCTCTTCATCATCATTGTCGGTATAAACTTCTCCATTTATCATTAGAGTATGGTGTTCGAATTCTTCACTTTCATTTTCTTCATTCTCGAGTGGTTCAATTTTTCTTATTAAATTATATTCAGCCAAAATGTTTGAGCTATCACCATCGGTGTCATCAGTTTCAACTAAGGATTTGTGTTCCTTGTTCAGTTTACGTTTTTTACGTGTACATTCGAGAGCCTCTGCAGCTGGTAGAAGAAAAGCCATTTGATCATGTAGATAGAAACGTTTGCGTTTTAGGCCATTGGAATCATCAGTGCTGTCACGTATTTGATGTTGAATACTACGTAGGAATCCTGTTCGAACATTGCGCCATTTATCACGACAGAATACATCTGAAATTTAAAGAGTATAAAAATACAAAATTCTAAAACTAAAATTCTTTGACTTACCCGGTTTACCTACTTCCTGGGCAACTTCGTTCCAGGCTTTCTCTAATTTATCACGCTTACCATAATCATTGCAATGAACATTCCACAGACTCTCTTGTTTTCTTACAGCATTTATTATTTTTATAATACTTTCCGGTTCGCAAGCGCTCATTTTAAAATATTGGTATTTTTTTTAATAAAATCACTTGTTGATGAGATCTTAAAAAAGTCTAAATGATTGACAGTCAATAGTAGTTGATGTGATTTTTGTTTACATTAGTATTTTCAATGACCCTCAAACTGTTTATCTATAATTCTGTAAGTTGGTAACACTTTCTTTAGAGGGATGCGTTAAATTAAATTTATTTTTGGTTTGAATCAACAAGTATGAATGATTTTAAAGCAGTAGTTGTAATAAGTTTGAACTTCTTTACATAGGGTTCTATAGTTGAAACGAAAAGTCGACTTTTCAATTTTTTGCATTTAGTTAAAAGTCGACTTTTTTCATTTAATTAAAAGTCGACTTTTAGACTTTTCGACTTTTAGTATTATATAAATAGTCGACTTTTCGACTTTTCGATTTTTATTCGACTTTTTGACTATTTTCGACTATTTTTTTACTTTTTTCGAATTTTTCCGATTATTTTAGAGTTTTTGATTTTTTTTCACATTTTTCAAATTTTCGACTATTTCTGAATTTTCGACTTTTTCCGACTTATACCGACATTTCGACTTATTTTCGACTTTTTATGACTTTTCGACTTTCATCGACTTTTCAACATTTTTCGACTTTTTTCGACTTTTTCCGACTTTTTCCGACTTTTTCCGACTTTTTGACTCTTTTCGACTTTTGGTTTTTTATTTACAGAGTCGACTTTTTTCATAGACGATAGTCGAGTTATCGACTTTTTTGGAACAAAATAGTCGACTTCGAAAGTCGATTTATAGAACCCTACTTTGCATATCAACGGCTAAATCTAATTAATTAAATAATGGATTAGATTGTCAATAGTCCACTGTAATATAAAGTATTTTTTAAAGCAAATACGACAGACATATTTTTTCCTCTTCGTCGAACAGACTGGTTGATACATTTGATGCCTGTCGAAAAGTGGCACCGCTTTTTAGTTTTGCAAATTTCTAACCCAAAACATGAAAGTAAGGCCTTTGGGAAAAATTATAAATTATAAATAAACTCAGTTGGCCTTCTCATTTGTAAACAAACTATAAATTGTAACGAAAGCAGTTATTTCAAAACTGTACTGCTAAAACAAACAGTTGGCAATGTCATCAAAACAGATGATTTCTAAATATTGATAAGAAATTTCTTCTTTTTCATTACAACTTTTGTTTTCATTGTAAGCGTTTGTGTTTTTTTACAAGAAAACAATGCATAAATTACGAAAATAAGTAAAATTTTAATTAAATAACAACGAATTGTAATAAAGAAACAAAAGAAAAATGAAATTATATAAATTATATACACACACTAAATCATATAATGGTAAAAATATATGGAAAAATTTGCTAAATAAGTATACACAAGATTTTACTTTTTCTATCACAGATGCAGATCTTTTAATCAACAACAAGGAACACCCCGATGCTAAGGCGGGAGATATTGTTGAGGTATTTCATCGTGACGATGAGGAAAATACAAGATTGCTATTGCAGATAACGACATTTACAGATCTGAAAAATCGTGATGTGATTAGTATAGAAAGTGGTGTGGCAAATCAATTTAAACTGCGCACCTTTAATGATGTTGTTATGCGTGTGGTCGATGTGGCTGATGTTGCTTTAGATTCAATTGAAATTACTTTTAAGGATCAGTATATGGGTCGTTCGGAAATGTGGCGTTTAAAGAAGTATTTGGTGAGTTGCTCTTATTAGGGTAGAGTAGGTGTGTTTGTTGGAAGTTGTAGGTGTATTTAAAGAAGTAAAGAGGCATTTTTAAAGAACTGCAATTATAATTTTATTTTCCTTTAAAAAAACAAACAGACTAATACATGTGTTTATGTCAATAAAAAAAATCGACTACAATGACATGCAAATACGTTGCCAAGTATACGAGATGTGGTCACAAGGTGAACGTGTTTCATGTGGTGTTATAACCGAAGATACAAAAATAGTTTTTCGCAGCAGCACCTCAATGGTCTACTTATTCCTACAAATGTCTTCGGAAATGTGGGACTTTGATATACATGGAGATTTGTATTTCGAAAAGGCGGTAAATGGTTTTCTTACAGAACTATTTCACAAATGGAAAAAACTTGGTTGTAATCATGAAGTCACCATAGTTCTGTTTTCACGCACATTTTACGCCGCCAAATCACTGGATGAATTTCCCGATCATATGCGTGAATGTTTACAAATGGATTATAAAGGAAGATTTTATGAGGATTTCTATCGCGTAGCCATACAAAATGAACGCAATGATGATTGGTGCACGGTATTGGCTCAATTAAGAAAACTATTTACTTCTTATCAAAAAACTGTATTAAATTATCATGCTCGGGAGGGTGTGAAAATACCAACAGCTTATAATTCGACAGCAGCTCAAGGCAACTTTTTGGAAGTATTAAATATTTCCTTAAACACATTTGAAAAACACTATCTAGATCGTACATTTGATCGTACAGGTCAGCTGTCAGTGGTGGTAACTCCCGGGGTGGGAGTATTTGAGGTAGATCGAGAACTAACCAATATAACGAAACAAAGGGTTAGTATTCCTTTAAATATTAAAGAAATGTTTATAATTATGAAATTATTTACCTTAGGTCATAGATAATGGTGTGGGCAGCGATTTGGTGTGTGTTGGCGAACAGCCTTTGCATGCTGTTCCTTTATTGAAATTTCATAATAAAGACACTTCTCTCACAGCAGCAGATGATTACTCTTTACCGCATTGGATAAATTTAAGTTTTTATTCCACTAATAAAAAGATTGCCTACTCAAATTTTATACCACGCATTAAATTGCCTCCTATGATTGCAAATGCTCCTATTAAAATGGATACTAATAGTGTAAGTTTTAAAGAATATTAAACTAAATACAAAATTCTTTATTGGTCATGATTTTTTCTCTTTAAAGGACAATGAAAATAATTTCCTTAGTTGTAATCAATCGGAATATATACATAATTCTTTGTTTGATTATGAAGCCTATGATGATCAAATATTTCAACCACCACCAGCTCAGGGCACTTGGTAATAAACTCTATATTTAGTTTAAATGATTTTTTATTATTTTTGTTTCCAGTTCTTTACAGCGTATTATTAGAGCTAAGAAGACATCAGTGCCCAGTTTAGAAACGTATGCTTTTCAAAATAATGATTGGGAAAACTTTACCCCTACTAAAGTGCCCAGTTTAAGACGCAAAATGTCTGATCCCGATATACATCATGGTACTTCGGGAATTTTGGCAGCCATGGTTTGTTTATTCGAATAATTCTTTTTTATAAGTATGAATATGTCTATAACTTTTAGAGTGATGTCACCAATCTTTCTGAATCTTTGGCCTCGGAGAAAAATGCCAGACGTTCTATTGTTTCCATTGCACCCATAGTAAGACCAGGAAGGTCACTTATTAATCCGTTTGATCCATCACATGTAACAATAAAATTGACATCAAATCGTCGTCGTTGGACTCATATTTTTCCAAAGGTAATTGAAATATTTTTTTGTTTATTCTTTTAATAAATATGTTGTAGTTCAGTTCTAGTACAGTTCTAAAATGTATGTATTAATAGAATCAATTAAAAATTATTTTCTTTAGGGTCCCACCGGAGTACTCATACAGCAGCATCATTATCAGGCAGTACCAGCAAAACAAAATTGCAATCAATTCAATAACAATAATGATAATGACTACTCATCTTGTTACAATTCTATGGAGTACGATCATACATCAAATTGTTCGACACTAAGTAAATCCATTACAAATAGCTTAAACAATACGGGTGAAACTGATAAACTTGAAAGTAAGACTCTCTAATATGTAAATCTATATTTTTTATATTTAATATTTTTTAAAACTTTCCAGTTACTAGAAAACGCAACAATTCCCTACTAAATACTTCAGCATTAGTGGCTAACACCTCAACTGCCGCAGTACCAGCTAAGAGTTTTCTCTGGGGTGCTACTGGTGAACAGGAGTGGACTCCAGCCATTACCACAGGTATTTCCAAAACTAAAACTTTGTCCACTTTAAACATTTGGCAATATAATATGTGTTTTTCTCTATGTAAACTCTTATTGTGATATTGTCAAAAAACGAATTTCTCATTTCAACCCCCTTTAAAATTGTTTACAATCTATGTTTATTGGTTTTTTTTACAGTTTGTTTATATATTAATTAATATTATTATTTTTTAGTTTATGTTTTGGAATTTTTGTTCTTTAACAGTTTGGGTAATTGTGTTACAAAAGGAAAACAAAAGTATAAATACAAATTTATACCGAAAAAGTGCATATATGAAATTAATTAATTTTAAAATAACAATACATACAAACATATATAATTGATATGAAACTATTAGAAAAGGGTTTACATAATAATACAAGCTTTTAAGCTTATTAGTATATTTTTTCCACTATGTTATATTTGATTGCATTTAATTTTGTTTTATAATACTCATTAGGTTTAAGAAATATATTTTATTTTTTTAAGTAAAGTGTTTACAAGAATTTTTAATTATCTGGAAGTACCCATACACTATTAATATTTTTATTTTATTAACTCATTAAAATTTTTTAGCAAATCATCTCTTAAAGACATACTGAGGAATCAGTTTTATAAAAACTAACAGTTCTAATTCACTTTTATTTGTCGTTTAATTCTAGATCCGTTCTAGTTCAATTCTAGTTCAGTTCTAGTTCAGTTCTAGTTCAGTTCTAGTTCAGTTCTAGTTCAGTTCTAGTTCAGTTCTAGTTCAGTTCTAGTTCAGTTCTAGTTCAGTTCTAGTTCAGTTCTAGTTCTAGTTCAGTTCTAGTTCAGTTCTAGTTCAGTTCTAGTTCAGTTCTAGTTCAGTTCTAGTTCAGTTCTAGTTCAGTTCTAGTTCAGTTCTAGTTCAGTTCTAGTTCAGTTCTAGTTCAGTTCTAGTTCAGTTCTAGTTCAGTTCTAGTTCAGTTCTAGTTCAGTTCTAGTTCAGTTCTAGTTCAGTTCTAGTTCAGTTCTAGTTCAGTTCTAGTTCAGTTCTAGTTCAGTTCTAGTTCAGTTCTAGTTCAGTTCTAGTTCAGTTCTAGTTCAGTTCTAGTTCAGTTCTAGTTCAGTTCTAGTTCAGTTCTAGTTCAGTTCTAGTTCAGTTCTAGTTCAGTTCTAGTTCAGTTCTAGTTCAGTTCTAGTTCAGTTCTAGTTCAGTTCTAGTTCAGTTCTAGTTCAGTTCTAGTTCAGTTCTAGTTCAGTTCTAGTTCAGTTCTAGTTCAGTTCTAGTTCAGTTCTAGTTCAGTTCTAGTTCAGTTCTAGTTCAGTTCTAGTTCAGTTCTAGTTCAGTTCTAGTTCAGTTCTAGTTCAGTTCTAGTTCAGTTCTAGTTCAGTTCTAGTTCAGTTCTAGTTCAGTTCTAGTTCAGTTCTAGTTCAGTTCTAGTTCAGTTCTAGTTCAGTTCTAGTTCAGTTCTAGTTCAGTTCTAGTTCAGTTCTAGTTCAGTTCTAGTTCAGTTCTAGTTCAGTTCTAGTTCTAGTTCAGTTCTAGTTCAGTTCTAGTTCAGTTCTAGTTCAGTTCTAGTTCTAGTTCAGTTCTAGTTCAGTTCTAGTTCAGTTCTAGTTCAGTTCTAGTTCAGTTCTAGTTCAGTTCTAGTTCAGTTCTAGTAGTTCAGTTCTAGTTCAGTTCTAGTTCAGTTCTAGTTCAGTTCTAGTTCAGTTCTAGTTCAGTTCTAGTTCAGTTCTAGTTCAGTTCTAGTTCAGTTCTAGTTCAGTTCTAGTTCAGTTCTAGTTCAGTTCTAGTTCTAGTTCAGTTCTAGTTCAGTTCTAGTTCAGTTCTAGTTCAGTTCTAGTTCAGTTCTAGTTCAGTTCTAGTTCAGTTCTAGTTCAGTTCTAGTTCAGTTCTAGTTCAGTTCTAGTTCAGTTCTAGTTCAGTTCTAGTTCAGTTCTAGTTCAGTTCTAGTTCAATTCTAGTTCAGTTCTAGTTCAGTTCTAGTTCTAGTTCAGTTCTAGTTCTAGTTCAGTTCTAGTTCTAGTTCAGTTCTAGTTCTAGTTCAGTTCTAGTTCAGTTCTAGTTCTAGTTCAGTTCTAGTTCAGTTCTAGTTCAGTTCTAGTTCAGTTCTAGTTCAGTTCTAGTTCAGTTCTAGTTCAGTTCTAGTTCAGTTCTAGTTCAGTTCTAGTTCAGTTCTAGTCCAGTTCTAGTTCAGTTCTAGTTCAGTTCTAGTTCAGTTCTAGTTCTAGTTAAGTTCTAGTTCAGTTCTAGTTCAGTTCTAGTTCTAGTTCAGTTCTAGTTCAGTTCTAGTTCTAGTTCTAGTTCAGTTCTAGTTCAGTTCTAGTTCAGTTCTAGTTCAGTTCTAGTTCTAGTTCAGTTCTAGTTCAGTTCTAGTTCAGTTCTAGTTCAGTTCAAGTTCAGTTCTAGTTCAGTTCTAGTTCAGTTCTAGTTCAGTTCTAGTTCAGTTCTAGTTCAGTTCTAGTTCAGTTCTAGTTCAGTTCTAGTTCAGTTCTAGTTCAGTTCTAGTTCAGTTCTAGTTCAGTTCTAGTTCAGTTCTAGTTCAGTTCTAGTTCAGTTCTAGTTCAGTTCTAGTTCAGTTCTAGTTCAGTTCTAGTTCAGTTCTAGTTCAGTTCTAGTTCAGTTCTAGTTCAGTTCTAGTTCAGTTCTAGTTCAGTTCTAGTTCAGTTCTAGTTCAGTTATAGTTTAGTTATAGTTCATATAAATTTCATAATAATATGCAATTAGGTATAAAATATTATATAAGTAACAGCATTATAATGTTTACATAGTAATAATCATCACATTTTGTGTTTATATTGTTTAATTCACAACTTAATGGAAGAGTTGTATAACGCCTACAAAAAAACTTATAATAGTAAATAAACAAACTTAAACAACTCTACAAGACGTTATGTATGAAACAAAGATAAGTTGGTAATTTGTAAATTATCATTTAATTATAATTCTATAGAAAATGACAAGATGATTGTCACACTAAATTTTAGTTACGGCCAATATAGACATCATGCCCATCATTTACATACTATTTATTACGAAACTAATACATACATATTTATTTTTAAATGTTGTTAAAATTACTTATGATTTTTTTAATATCCTCTCATTCATACTTTAACATCTATTAACCATCTCAATTAAAATACAAATAACGATTAATTCTTTTTCAAACTGTTTTGTTGTTCCCGTTCCCATCAAACCTTCACTACAACAACTATATAATTAAAAAAAAAAAAAAAAACAATAATATAATTACATTTTTGTTTGGAAAAACATAACAACTCATTTAACATAATCGCAGTGAATGGTAGTGTGCGTAAACATTTAATACCAATAGTTGAAACAGAAACCACAATGGGAAATGTGTTCGAGACAGAAGCTGATGGAAAAGGAAAAATAATCATAGGTTAGCAAATTTTGTATAAACAAACAAAATGGAACGTAATATAATTATTTTTATTAATTTTTTTTGTAGTTAAACAAAATTTATATTTTTATATAAACAAAGCTCGCACATTTTTTTCTAGTAATAACATTTAATTTGCATATAAATTTATCAAAACAGCTTCAACATTTAATAAAAAAAAAACGATTATTTTACCACAAATGAACACTTTTTCACACTGTAGATAGTTTTCAAATAATATTATTATTTAAATACTACGTTTTTGCACACTATTTATTATAAAATGCAGTATGTACCAAGACACAATTAATTTTAAATAAATTTTGGTAATTAATATTGGTTTACAAACAACACTTTTAAGTATAAGAAAATTTTACGGATATTTGGATTTTTATTGCATTATTAATACAGCCATAGTTATATGTCTATTTTATCCTTTGGAACTTAATGAAAAGTTTTTACATAAACTAAATTTATCAAAAATTTAATTCAATACATAATTTAAAAAAAATATATATTTAAATTTTGTTGAAAATATCGATAAATGGTTAAATTGATAGAAAGATTTCGATAAATCAATATTTTATCGAAAATTTCCAGAATATAGTAATTGAACGAAAATTGCTAGTTTTGTTCTAATTCCGTTCTAGTTCAGTTCTAGTTCAGTTCTAGTTCAGTTCTAGTTCAGTTCTAGTTCAGTTCTAGTTCAGTTCTAGTTCAGTTCTAGTTCAGTTCTAGTTCAGTTCTAGTTCAGTTCTAGTTCAGTTCTAGTTCAGATCTAGTTCAGTTCTAGTTCAGTTCTAGTTCTGTTCTAGTTCAGTTCTAGTTCAGTTCTAGTTCAGTTCTAGTTCAGTTCTAGTTCAGTTCTAGTTCAGTTCTAGTTCAGTTCTAGTTCAGTTCTAGTTCAGTTCTAGTTCAGTTCTAGTTCAGTTCTAGTTCAGTTCTAGTTCAGTTCTAGTTCAGTTCTAGTTCAGTTCAGTTCTAGTTCAGTTCTAGTTCAGTTCTAGTTCAGTTCTAGTTCAGTTCTAGTTCAGTTCTAGTTCAGTTCTAGTTCAGTTCTAGTTCAGTTCTAAGTTCAGTTCTAGTTCAGTTCTAGTTCAGTTCTAGTTCAGTTCTAGTTCAGTTCTAGTTCAGTTCTAGTTCAGTTCTAGTTCAGTTCTAGTTCAGTTCTAGTTCAGTTCTAGTTCAGTTCTAGTTCAGTTCTAGTTCAGTTCTAGTTCAGTTCTAGTTCAGTTCTAGTTCAGTTCTAGTTCAGTTCTAGTTCAGTTCTAGTTCAGTTCTAGTTCAGTTCTAGTTCAGTTCTAGTTCAGTTCTAGTTCAGTTCTAGTTCAGTTCTAGTTCAGTTCTAGTTCAGTTCTAGTTCAGTTCTAGTTCAGTTCTAGTTCAGTTCTAGTTCAGTTCTAGTTCAGTTCTAGTTCAGTTCTAGTTCAGTTCTAGTTCAGTTCTAGTTCAGTTCTAGTTCAGTTCTAGTTCAGTTCTAGTTCAGTTCTAGTTCAGTTCTAGTTCAGTTCTAGTTCAGTTCTAGTTCAGTTCTAGTTCAGTTCTAGTTCAGTTGTTCTAGTTCAGTTCTAGTTCAGTTCTAGTTCAGTTCTAGTTCAGTTCTAGTTCAGTTCTAGTTCAGTTCTAGCAGTTCTTGTTCAGTTCTAGTTCAGTTCTAGTTCAGTTCTAGTTCAGTTCTAGTTCAGTTCTAGTTCAGTTCTAGTTCAGTTCTAGTTCAGTTCTAGTTCAGTTCTAGTTCAGTTCTAGTTCAGTTCTAGTTCAGTTCTAGTTCAGTTCTAGTTCAGTTCTAGTTCAGTTCTAGTTCAGTTCTAGTTCAGTTCTAGTTCAGTTCTAGTTCAGTTCTAGTTCAGTTCTAGTTCAGTTCTAGTTCAGTTCTAGTTCAGTTCTAGTTCAGTTCTAGTTCAATTCTAGTTCAGTTCTAGTTCAATTCTAGTTCAATTCTAGTTCAGTTCTAGTTCAGTTCTAGTTCAGTTCTAGTTCAGTTCTAGTTCAGTTCTAGTTCAGTTCTAGTTCAGTTCTAGTTCAGTTCTAGTTCAGTTCTAGTTCAGTTCTTGTTCAGTTCTAGTTCAGTTCTAGTTCAGTTCTAGTTCAGTTCTAGTTCAGTTCTAGTTCAGTTCTAGTTCAGTTCTAGTTCAGTTCTAGTTCAGTTCTAGTTCAGTTCTAGTTCAGTTCTAGTTCAGTTCTAGTTCAGTTCTTGTTCAGTTCTAGTTCAGTTCTAGTTCAGTTCTAGTTCAGTTCTAGTTCAGTTCTAGTTCAGTTCTAGTTCAGTTCTAGTTCAGTTCTAGTTCAGTTCTAGTTCAGTTCTAGTTCAGTTCTAGTTCAGTTCTAGTTCAGTTCTAGTTCAGTTCTAGTTCAGTTCTAGTTCAGTTCTAGTTCAGTTCTAGTTCAGTTCTAGTTCAGTTCTAGTTCAGTTCAGTTAGTTCAGTTCTAGTTCAGTTCTAGTTCAGTTCTAGTTCAGTTCTAGTTCAGTTCTAGTTCAGTTCTAGTTCAGTTCTAGTTCAGTTCTAGTTCAGTTCTAGTTCAGTTCTAGTTCAGTTCTAGTTCAGTTCTAGTTCAGTTCTAGTTCAGTTCTAGTTCAGTTCTAGTTCAGTTCTAGTTCAGTTCTAGTTCAGTTCTAGTTCAGTTCTAGTTCAGTTCTAGTTCAGTTCTAGTTCAGTTCTAGTTCAGTTCTAGTTCAGTTCTAGTTCAGTTCTAGTTCAGTTCTAGTTCAGTTCTAGTTCAGTTCTAGTTCAGTTCTAGTTCAGTTCTAGTTCAGTTCTAGTTCAGTTCTAGTTCAGTTCTAGTTCAGTTCTAGTTCAGTTCTAGTTCAGTTCTAGTTCAGTTCTAGTTCAGTTCTAGTTCAGTTCTAGTTCAGTTCTAGTTCAGTTCTAGTTCAGTTCTAGTTCAGTTCTAGTTCAGTTCTAGTCAGTTCTAGTTCAGTTCTAGTTCAGTTCTAGTTCAGTTCTAGTTCAGTTCTAGTTCAGTTCTAGTTCAGTTCTAGTTCAGTTCTAGTTCAGTTCTAGTTCAGTTCTAGTTCAGTTCTAGTTCAGTTCTAGTTCAGTTCTAGTTCAGTTCTAGTTCAGTTCTAGTTCAGTTCTAGTTCAGTTCTAGTTCAGTTCTAGTTCAGTTCTAGTTCAGTTCTAGTTCAGTTCTAGTTCAGTTCTAGTTCAGTTCTAGTTCAGTTCTAGTTCAGTTCTAGTTCAGTTCTAGTTCAGTTCTAGTTCAGTTCTAGTTCAGTTCTAGTTCAGTTCTAGTTCAGTTTTCTAGTTCAGTTCTTGTTCAGTTCTAGTTCAGTTCTAGTTCAGTTCTAGTTCAGTTCTAGTTCAGTTCTAGTTCAGTTCTAGTTCAGTTCTAGTTCAGTTCTAGTTCAGTTCTAGTTCAGTTCTAGTTCAGTTCTAGTTCAGTTCTAGTTCAGTTCTAGTTCAGTTCTAGTTCAGTTCTAGTTCAGTTCTAGTTCAGTTCTAGTTCAGTTCTAGTTCAGTTCTAGTTCAGTTCTAGTTCAGTTCTAGTTCAGTTCTAGTTCAGTTCTAGTTCAGTTCAGTTCTAGTTCAGTTCTGTCTTTGTTTGATTGAAAATTTTCGATAAATTATTGAAAATAATTTAACAATTTTTTTAAATTTTTAAAATTATTATCAGAATTATATAACTATGGTTTAATTCTAATTGAATTTGGTATATTTTTAGTAGATTTGTTGCATGTTTGTTTTATTAATGCATGATTATACAAGTATTTAAAGACCTTAATATATTTAATGTATTTATCTATTAATTTACATTCATTTATTTCGTAGAATAGAAAAGTTACATCACTCATAAATTGTTTATTAAAAATATTAAAAGAATATGCACTTTTATATACATAATTATGTGTCTGTCCGAATGATTTGAGTTTTATGAAAGAAGAAACTACTCTATCTACTGAATAAACAATATCAAACTATCAAGGATATTAATTTTCAATTATAAACTAAATAAAATATAAGAAATGTAACCATAAAAATATGTATGAAACCTGCAAACTTAGAGGTTTGATCTCAAATTGAGTATAATTAATTCTAAATCAAAGGGTTTCTTAAATATTAATTTTTAAAAAAAATACTTTAACACTTAGAGCTGAGTTTTCTAATGTTTTAAATATTCTAATGATATATGTATAAAAAAATTTTGTTAATTTTTATACTTACTTGTATTTTGGTGTATGTGAAATATTTTAAAAGATCATTTTATAAAACATAAAAATGATTCCCTAAAAGTAACTCCCTAATGCTTTTTTATTATTTTGGCTTTCAACGTTTAATTACAACTTGGTACATTTTAGAGCCCTGCATGAGTAACTCTATTTGCTACACACAATGAGTGACTCATTGTTTTGCACTCAACTCATTGTTTGTTTAGAATAGTATTTACAAAGTTTTGTTATACTCAAACGTTGTGAGTACTATCAAGTGAATGTGCAACTACATTCAAATCGAGTGAGTGAACAATTTGTTTATGTTAAAACAATACAAAATAGATTGTTTGGATCGAATGAATCGATTCAAACTTTTTCTTGAATAAGTGGTGAAAATTTTGAATGCTGTTAAAACTAGTTCCTGTGGCCCGAATTCGCTGAAATTTGGTAGTCTTGAGTACAATTGATGACAAGATAATATTATGTTCGAATATTCGAAATTAAGTTCGAAAATTCGAAGTTATGTTCGAAAAATTTTTTATGCTTTTAAATTATTCTTTGAGTCCAAAAAACTAAAAAAAAAATTTCGAAAATTCGAACTCATGTTCGAAAAAAATTTAAAGCTGATAAAACCAGTTTCCGTGGACCAAATTGGCTGAAATTTGGCAGTGTTAAGTACAGTTGATGACGCTACTATATTATCTTCGACTATTCGAAATTAAGTTCGAAAATTCGAAGTAATATTCAAAAAATCTGTTAATTTGTCAAACTTAAAAATTGTTTTGCTTTCACTCGATTCACTCACTGTATACTACTTGAATTGAATCACACAAAACACTCTCATTACTTGTTTCGTTTGAATTGAGTATTGACTAACATTCCTTATTTTCAAATATACTATTCATTTCATTCATAAAACAATGAGTGAGTCAAACACAGTGTTTGAAAAAAAATCAAATGTTTTAATTTATTATTTAAGTCACTCATGCAGGGCTCTAGTACATTTATGTATATTAATTAAATGCTTTCCTTTTCAATGGTGTGGTTAATTTATGTTATTGTTATTATGGTATTTAAATATAGTGTCCTATTATTTCACTAAACAAAATACAAAAACCAAACACTACCTATTCGTAATCGAGAGTGTTGTATTGTTGTAAATGTTAACACAGAAAATTAATATTAAAAAAACTAAATAATTTTAATAATCTTTTCCATTTTTCTTAATATGACATAATTTGCCACCATAAAACTTTATAGGGGTAGATTGGAAATCTCTAACGATACCCGCTTGTCTGCCCATAACCACTGACTATTTCCCCGATAAGCGTTCTCTGCACAATGATTATGTTATATCCGATTATACTCTACTGCCGGATGATGTAAATTTAGATTATGCCAATAGTCGTGCTATTTATCGTAAACCTCTGACAACTGAAGAAGTTTGTACGGAAATTGTATCACAACGTTTGGCTCAAGGTTTTCAATTGATTGTTTTGGAAGAGAAGGCAAATACAACTCCGGCTCAGGCACCATGTTGTGGTGGTCTGAAACAACAAAAACCTACATCGGTGTTGCATATGAAACCAATGACGGAGATCACTAAAGAATATTTATTATCGATAGGTCGTATTTTCCATAAATCACCTTAAATGGTTCGGTTATCACTGTAACGGGCTATAGGCCAAGGTGAGAATGATTGTGTGGGTATACTTTAATACTATTGATTATATTTTCTTGTTTTCTTTTAAGACATCCTTATCCCCCTATTAATGTTGATTATCGTTATCGTTTCCATGCCCCTCAACATGAAACCTATGAGATTTCTGGTGTTAATTTTACTACCGAAAAATTGGAAAATTTCAATTGGAATTATATGGATCATTATATTTGCACTAGAGGAGATACTGATTATCCCTTAATGGAGGTGAGTTGATATGAGAAAAGTTTTATTTTACAAACATTATTATACTTCCCTTAACACAGAGGTAAATCGTTACTTTTGTTAAAGCAGTTGCGCCGCCCACTCATTCCATTATTGCGTGAGGTGGAAACAAAATTCAAAATTCAAACATCCATTCCAGTTCTCTTTGTTCAGTTCTAGTTCAGTTCTAGTTCAGTTCTAGTTCAGTTCTGTTCAGTTCTAGTTCAGTTCTAGTTCAGTTCTAGTTCAGTTCTAGTTCAGTTCTAGTTCAGTTCTAGTTCAGTTCTAGTTCAGTTCTAGTTCAGTTCTAGTTCAGTTCTAGTTCAGTTCTAGTTCAGTTCTAGTTCAGTTCTAGTTCAGTTCTAGTTCAGTTCTAGTTCAGTTCTAGTTCAGTTCTAGTTCAGTTCTAGTTCAGTTCTAGTTCAGTTCTAGTTCAGTTCTAGTTCAGTTCTAGTTCAGTTCTAGTTCAGTTCTAGTTCAGTTCTAGTTCAGTTCTAGTTCAGTTCTAGTTCAGTTCTAGTTCAGTTCTAGTTCAGTTCTAGTTCAGTTCTAGTTCAGTTCTAGTTCAGTTCTAGTTCAGTTCTAGTTCAGTTCTAGTTCAGTTCTAGTTCAGTTCTAGGTCAGTTCTAGTTCAGTTCTAGTTCGTTCTAGTTCAGTTCTAGTTCAGTTCTAGTTCAGTTCTAGTTCAGTTCTAGTTCAGTTCTAGTTCAGTTCTAGTTCAGTTCTAGTCAGTCTAGTTCAGTTCTAGTTCAGTTCTAGTTCGTTCTAGTTCAGTTCTAGTTTCAGTTCTAGTTCAGGTTCTATTCAGTTCTAGTTCAGTTCTAGTTCAGTTCTAGTTCAGTTCTAGTTCAGTTCTAGTTCAGTTCTAGTTCAGTTCTAGTTCAGTTCTAGTTCAGTTCTAGTTCAGTTCTAGTTCAGTTCTAGTTCAGTTCTAGTTCAGTTTCTAGTTCAGTTCTAGTTCAGTTTCTAGTCATTCTAGTTCAGTCTTAGTTCAGTTTCTAGTTCAGTTCTAGTTCAGTCTAGTTCAGTTCTAGTTCAGTTCTAGTTTCAGTTTCTAGTTCAGTTCTAGTTCAGTTCTAGTTCAGTTCGTAGTTCAGTTCTAGTTCATTTCTAGTTCAGTTCTAGTTCAGTTCTAGTTTCATGTTCTAGTTCAGTTCTAGTTCGGTCTAAGTTCAGTTTAGTTCAGTTCTAGATCAGTTTAGTCAGTCAGTTCTAGATCAGTTGTAGTTCAGTTGTAGTTCAGTTCTAGTTCAGTTTCTAGTTCAGTTCTAGTTCAGTTCTAGTTCAGTTCTAGTTCAGTTCTAGTTCAGTTCTAGTTCAGTTCTAGTTCAGTTCTAGTTCAGTTCTAGTTCAGTTCTAGTTCAGTTCTAGTTCAGTTCTAGTTCAGTTCTAGTTCAGTTCTAGTTCAGTTCTAGTTCAGTTCTAGTTCAGTTCTAGTTCAGTTCTAGTTCAGTTCTAGTTCAGTTCTAGTTCAGTTCTAGTTCAGTTCTAGTCATTTCTAGTTCAGTTCTAGTTCAGTTCTAGTTCAGTTCTAGTTCAGTTCTAGTTCAGTTCTAGTTCAGTTCTAGTTCAGTACTAGTTCAGTTCTAGTTCAGTTCTTAGATCAGTTCTAGTTCATTCTAGTTCAGTTCTTGTTCAGTTCTAGTTAAGTTCAGTTCATTCTAGTTCAGGTTCGTTCTAGTTCAGTTCTAGTTCAGTTCTAGTTCAGTTCTAGTTCATTCTAGTTCAGTTCTAGTTCAGTTCTAGTCTCAGTTCTAGTTCAGTTCTAGTTCAGTTCTAGTTCAGTTCTAGTTCAGTTCTAGTTCAGTTCTAGTTCAGTTCTAGTTTCAGTTCTAGTTCAGTTCTAGTTCAGTTCTAGTTCAGTTTCTAGTTCAGTTCTAGTTCAGTTCTAGTTAGTCTAGTTTCAGTTCTAGTTCAGTCTAGTTTAGTTCTAGTTCATTCTAGTTCAGTTCTAGTTAGTCTAGTTCTGTTTTAGTTCTATTTTTGTGCAATAAATTTTAATAAACAGTATTGTATATTTTTCCAGAGCTTAAAATATTGGCGTTTCGTATGTATTTATTACCCAAAGAGAATAGAGCTATGAATACAATAATTGAACAAGGTTGTCAGCACTGTGATGTCTTCACCGATAACGCCGTGGACATACTAAGCAACAAGTAGATGATTTTATGCGTTTCGTTGAATTGCATTTGAATAAATTGAAAAGACGTAAAGCACGCGTAAGCATATCATCAATTATTTCTGATTATTTCTGTTATTAATTATTTATTTCTCGTTTTTGTATGGAATTTAGTTAAACTAATTATGTTTTTTTATGCTTTATATAATATTGTTCTTTATTATATTTATTTGCCAGTTTTATTTATTATCTTTACTATTTATTTTATTTGAATTTATTTTTTTTTTATTATTTACTACATTTATGTATATTTTTCCCCAAAAAACGTATTTATGTACAGTATTATTTTACAATATTAATTAAATTTTTAACCTACATACTACAATATTTATTTAAAAAATATTTACCACACAACAACAACAACAATTTTAATACTTTTTTCCCAAAATTTTATTATTGTTGCTTTTGCCTTATGTGTTTGAGTTGGAATCGTTTACAGGATAGTCCTACTGCACAAAGTCATCTAACAAGAAGGCGCCACAGTACCAGCATAATATCCAGACCTCCATCTAATCAGGTTCTCTATCTAAAACTTTTACTATCTTTTTTCCTCTTTTACTAAAAACTAGTTTTTTCTAATTGTTTTTGTCAAGACTTTAATTTAATTCTAAAAATTTTGTCCCTTGTCTTGTTAATTACAAACATATATATTTTTTTGTTTTGTTCTTTGTTTTACCCTCTAATTTGCAAAACAAATGCATTAATTAATTAATTTTAAAGAAAAAGGTCCACTAAATTTTTATATATTTTTTAATATTTAGGGTGTTACAAATTCGCCGTTTCGTGAACGTGTTGGCAGTAATCGTTTGCCCGAAAAGCGACCAAGGTTTTTATATAAACAATTTTAGTTTAAAGAAACAATATTTTTTGTTTGTTAGCCTTTTAAAATGGTTTGGCTTGGTTAAAACATTTTTTATTACAAACATTTGGTGTTTGCTTAATTAATACTATTATTAATCACTACTACTATTTATTTACGTATCTATTTTATTTTTATTTATTATTCACTAGTTTAAATTGTAATAGACACGCAGCTTAATATTCAATATTATTGTTTTTCTTTATTTTTTTTTATATTTCATAATCTAAATCAAATCAAATACATAATTGTTTATATTTGTTTTAGTTTTGATTCTAAACTACAAATATGAAAGGACTATTTACAAATCACTTTTCGAAATAGGTCTAATATTCATTTCTTTCTTGACGCCTCATAAGTTAGCTTAGATACCATTTCACCTGGTTCCAAAAATTGAAGCCTTTGTGATACTAGAAAAACATAATGATATTGAAAATTCGAAACTTAACGCAGCAGAAATGAAACTTCTAAAGAAGCGAAAATACATGCTCCAATGTGGATTGGAAGATGGTTCCTCTATAATAAATACTAATTATTATTTTTTAAGAAATGATTTGAATGCTGTTGTTATGGTTATTAAAATGTTAATGGCGAGATGTCAACATCTTTTATACAAAAGTTTCAAAAGCTACGTGTCTTTGTATCTTTATGTCTGCTTATAATACTTATTAAAAACATTTAATTTTATAAATATATTAATTTTATTTTAAGCACTTGTTTTGTACATACATACATATGTAGCCAGATTATTTATTTCTATTACACAAAAAAAAAAAAAAAAAAAAAAAAACAAACTGACTAGAACTGAACTAGATCTGAACTAGAACAGAACTAAAACTGAACTAGAACTGAACTAGAACTGAACTAGAACTGAACTAGAACTGAACTAGAACTGAACTAGAACTGAACTAGAACTGAACTAGAACTAACTAGAACTGAACTAGAACTGAACTAGAACTGAACTAGAACTGAACTAGAACTGAACTAGAACTGAACTAGAACTGAACTAGAACTGAACTAGAACTTGAACTAGAACTGAACTAGAACTGAACTAGAACTGAACTAGAACTGAACTAGAACTGAACTAGAACTGAACTAGAACTGAACTAGAACTGAACTAGAACTGAACTAGAACTGAACTAGAACTGAACTAGAACTGAACTAGAAGTGAACTAGAACTGAGCTAGAACTGAACTAGAACTGAACTAGAACTGCACTAGAACTGAACTAGAACTGAACTAGAATCTGAACTAGAACTTAACTAGCACTAGAACTGAACTAGAACTGAACTAGAACTGAACTAGAACTGAACTAGAACTGAACTAGAACTGAAACTAAACTGAACTAGAAACTGAACTAGAACGAACTAGAACTGAACTAGAACTGAACTAGAACTGAACTAGAACTGATCTAGAACTGAACTAGAACTGAACTAGAACTGAACTAGAACTGAACTAGAACCAGAACTGAACTAGAACTGAACTAGAACTAGAACTGAACTAGAACTAGAACTAAACTGAACTAGAACTGAACTAGAACTGACTAAACTGAGACTAGAACTGAAACTAGAACTGAACTAGAACTGAACTAGAACTGAACTAGAACTGAACTAGAACTGAACTAGAAACAGAACTGAAACTAGAACTGACTAGAACTAACTAGAACTAGAACTGAACTAGAACTAGAACTGAACTAGAACTGAACTAGAACTGAACTAGAACTGAACTAGAACTGAACTAGAACTGAACTAGAACTGAACTAGAACGAACTAGAACTGAACTAGAACTGAACTAGAACTGAACTAGAACTGAACTAGAACTGAACTAGAACTGAACTAGAACTGAACTAGAACTGAACTAGAACTGAACTAGAACTGAACTAGAACTGAACTAGAACTGAACTAGAACTGAACTAGAACTGAACTAGAACTGAACTAGAACTGAACTAGAACTGAACTAGAACTGAACTAGAACTGAACTAGAACTGAACTAGAACTGAACTAGAACTGAACAGAACTGAACTAGAACTGAACTAGAACTGAACTAGAACTGAACTAGAACTGAGCTAGAACTGAGCTAGAACTGAACTAGAACTGAACTAGAACTGAACTAGAACTGAACTAGAACTGAACTAGAACTGAACTAGAACTGAACTAGAACTAGAACTGAACAGACTGAACTAGAACTGAACTAGAACTGAACTAGAACTGAACTAGAACTGGAACTAGAACTGAACTAGAAATGACTATAACTGAACTAGAACTGAACTAGAACGAACTAGAACTGAACTAGAACTGAACTAGAACTGAACTTGAACTGAACTAGAACTGAACTAGAACTGAACTAGAACTGAACTAGAACTGAACTAGAACTGAACTAGAACTGAACTAGAAACTGAAGTAGAACTGAAAGTAGAACTGAACTAGAACTGAACTATAGAACTGAACTAGAACTGAACTAAGAACTGAACTAGAACTGAACTAGAACTGAACTAGAACTGAACTAGAACTGAACTAGAACTGACTAGAACTGAACTAGACTGAACTAGAACTGAACTAGAACTGAACTAGAACTGAACTAGAACTGAACTAGAACTGACTAACTGAACTAGAACTGAACTAGAACTGAACTAGAACTGAACTAGAACTGACTAGAACTGAACTAGAACTGAACTAGAACTGAACTAGAACTGAACTAGAACTGAACTAGAACTGAACTGAACTAGAACTGAACTAGAACTGAACTAGACTGAACTAGAACTGAACTAGAACTGAACTAGAACTGAACTAGAACTGAACTAGAACTGAACTAGATCTGAACTAGAACTGAACGAAAATTAGAACTGAACAACGTTTGTTTATTGCTTGGATTAGCAAAATTGTTTATTTTATTTTATATAATAATTACAGAAGTGTGGTATCAGTCTCGCTACATATGTATTTATGCCACGTAAAGTACTATGTAGAAAAAATTGTCTGCTTAATATTTTAATATTGCTTTTTTAATTTATTTTCGTTTTTATTTTATTTTATGGTTTTTGGCTTACAGCATGTCACAACTAGATTCTCTGATAAACATCATATTATTTTTAACTCACCACAGCAAAGGTTTGTTGGTTTGTTTTGTAAAGGCACATACTTATCATTAAAATCTAAAAAACTTAAAAAAATCTCATTAAACATATTTTGTATATAATTTTCATAAATTCATTAACTGCAATTTTGAGTTGTTTTTCTCTATTTGGCAAATGTATTTTCAATGCATAAACGATTACACCAAATATTTGTAAAATACTTCTATGTACTTGTATATAATTTAAATTATTTTTTAAATAGTTACATAGCACGTTCTACGGTTTTAAAAACTGAACGGGCAGGTGGACGTATTATACATCCGGCAGCTGATGCTGCTGCAATTGCCTTAAATTCAGAGCTGAATCAGCATGATGATTATGATGAAGGGTAATTAACATTCATACATTTCCTTTAAATTATTTTAATTAATATGAAATTAATATTTTTATTTCTTTTTTTTAAAGATCCTCTACCGAAATTAAATTACGACCCAATGCTTCAATCAATGAAATATTTGAAGCAATGAAACATCCCGTTAATGGCGTTGCCTTCATTTCACAAACCCAAAGCCTGCCTTCGTATACATTTGTATCGTTTGATGCCTTAATGTGGCTTAAAAACAATTTGGATAACTCACGTAATCCTTTGGAAATTTTAGAGGCCATGCGCAAAGAGAAACTTATATGTCATGCCTCGGGTGATTTTAATAAGCCAGTAATAGCGGGCTTTTATTTATATTTTATAGCTCAACAAGATAAAAATGTTAAAGGTTAGTATAAAATATTAATATTTTCAATAAAGACTAATTATTTTTTTACTTTTTAAGACTACATACGTCCTCTTAATGATTTAAGTGCCTTTGAGAATGAATGGATGGAAATTGAATTGTTGGGCTGCAACAGTTTATGGAATGATGAAGCTACTTTACCGCATATACCGAATTTTCTAAAAGATATACCACCACCACAATCCTGGACAGATTGTTGTAAAAATCGTAAGAATGTTTATCAATTACACGCGTATTTTTTGATATTTAAAAAGTATCAAATAATTTAAAATTACAAATTGCAATTTTTTGGAAGGGAATTTTAAATAATATGTACATATAAACAAAATTTTTTAAACCTTTATTTTCTTTCAGAAAAAATCTATCGTCATTCACATTTGGAAATTGATGTCAACCAAAAGAGTGAACGCATGGAGTGGGGACACGTTAAATATCACACTGTTATGCAAACAGGTTTTGCATTTGAGATTGTAGTACAATGGGTTACATCGTCGGGACCAATAGTTTGGGATTTGGCAAGTGTTTAAGAAATACTTTTACTCCAACTGAACTAGAACTGAACTAGAACTGAACTAGAACTGAACTAGAACTGAACTAGAACTGAACTAGAACAGAACTAGAACTGAACTAGAACTGAACTAGAACTGAACTAGAACTGAACTAGAACTGAACTAGAACTGAACTAGAACTGAACTAGAACTGAACTAGAACTGAACTAGAACTGAACTAGAACTGAACTAGAACTGAACTAGAACTGAAACTAGAACTGAACTAGAACTGAACTAGAACTGAACTAGAACTGAACTAGAACTGAACTAGAACTGAACTAGAACTGAACTAGAACTGAACTAGAACTGAACTAGAACTGAACTAGAACTGAACTAGAACTGAACTAGAACTGAACTAGAACTGAACTAGAACTGAACTAGAACTGAACTAGAACTGAACTAGAACTGAACTAGACTGAACTAGAACTGAACTAGAACTGAACTAGAACTGAACTAGAACTGAACTAGAACTGAACTAGAACTGAACTAGAACTGAACTAGAACTGAACTAGAACTGAACTAGAACTGAACTAGAACTGAACTAGAACTGAACTAGAACTGAATAACTGAACTAGAACTGAACTAGAACTGAACTAGAACTGAACTAGAACTGAACTAAACTGAACTAGAACTGAACTAGAACTGAACTAGAACTGAACTAGAACTGACTAGAACTGAACTAGAATGAACTAGAATGAACTAGAACTGAACTAGAACTGAACTAGAACTTGAACTAGAACTGAACTAGAACTGAACTAGAACTGAACTAGAACTGACTAGAACTGAACTAGAACTGAACTAGAACTGAAACTAGAACTGAAACTAGAACTGAACTAGAACTGAACTAGAACTGAACTAGAACTGAACTAGAACTGAACTAGAACTGAACTAGAACTGAACTAGAACTGAACTAGAACTGAACTAGAACTGAACTAGAACTGAACTAGAACTGAACTAGAACTGAACTAGAACTGAACTAGAACTGACTAGAACTGAACTAGAACGAACTAGAACTGAACTAGAACTGAACTAGAACTGAACTAGAACTGAACTAGAACTGAACTAGAACTGAACTAGAACTGAACTAGAACTGAACTAGAACTGAACTAGAACTGAACTAGAACTGAACTAGAACTGAACTAGAACTGAACTAGAACTGAACTAGAACTGAACTGAACTGAACTAGAACTGAACTAGAACTGAACTAGAACTGAACTAGAACTGAACTAGAACTGAACTAGAACTGAACTAGAACTGAACTAGAACTGAACTAGAACTGAACTAGAACTGAACTAGAACTGAACTAGAACTGAACTAGAACTGAACTAGAACTGAACTAGAACTGAACAACTAGAACTGAACTAGAACTGAACTAGAACTGAACTAGAACTGAACTAGAACTGAACTAGAACTGAACTAGAACTGAACTAGAACTGAACTAGAACTGAACTAGAACTGAACTAGAACTGAACTAGAACTGAACTAGAACTGAACTAGAACTGAACTAGAACTGAACTAGAACTGAACTAGAACTGAACTAGAACTGAGAACTGAACTAGAACTGAACTAGAACTGAACTAGAACTGAACTAGAACTGAACTAGAACTGAACTAGAACTGAACTAGAACTGAACTAGAACTGAACTAGAACTGAACTAGAACTGAACTAGAACTGAACTAGAACTGAACTAGAACTGAACTAGATCTGAACTAGAACTGAACTAGAACTGAACTAGAACTGAACTAGAACTGAACTAGAACTGAACTAGAACTGAACTAGAACTGAACTAGAACTGAACTAGAACTGAACTAGAACTGAACTAGAACTGAACTAGAACTGAACTAGAACTGAACTAGAACTGAACTAGAACTGAACTAGAACTGAACTAGAACTAGAACTGAACTAGAACTGAATTACTTAGAATTGAACTAGAAAAATAAATTAATTTCATATTTTTCATTTCAAATTAAAGATTAATGGCTGGATACGTAAAGCCAATCAGTGTAATTACCAATTAGTACCAGTACCCCGCCGATCCCATGGCTGAACCATTTACCGAGAAATCTGATCCTCTCAGAGGACCCATATTTATACCCTTGGCTACTCAGCATTTAAATAATGGGGTCAATATGTTTGAAGGTAAGTTGTTTTTCAAATTTTGATTTTATTTTTGATCTGGTTAACGACATAATTTTTGTTGTCTGCAGAATTTTCGGAAGAAACTAGAGCCGATCGTATGTTATTATTCCAAGAAGCTATATTAGCACGTTTTGGATTTTTACCCTGTGTTGTGGAAAAGAAATTTACTTTTAACAAAGATGTGAGTATAAGAAAGGAAATCTTCCAAGTTTAAAAATTATTATTCATGTTATAAAAATTAAATGAATATATTTTATTCTTATTCATTATCTAAGATCCCAAAGGAATATCAATATGTTCATTGTTCTGGAAATATGTTTGCTCTTATACGGTAATAGACTATAAAAATTTAGCAAAAAATCTCATAAACAATTAATTTAAATTTAAATTGTATTCCATAGCTGTTCTAAAAATACCAATTATCAAATGGATTCACCAAGTAGACAAGAAGCCAATGTTACACGTTGTGTTTATGGTCACACCAATAATACTAATGTTCCTAAGAAGGTATTCATCATTTTAATAAATATTTAATATATTTCTTAAGCTAAAATAAACATTGCATAATTTCAGATTGGTTTCTTATGGGCCTGGAATCATATGATACCAAATAAAAAATGGAAATCTCTTCTCATTAACAATTCATCCGAAGGTGAATTATTTCAATTGAAAATGCTTAAAGATTTTCGTGAATTTTGTTCAAATACCGATAATCGTTTAGTTAAATTTTGGAATCATTGTCATGATTTAAAACGTGCTTCTTTAAATAATATTGAAAATATAAATAACAATAATAATAATATTGATAATAAATCATTATTAGCTTTAAGTTAAATAAAAAATGGGTTATTATTTGTATAATATACATATATTAATAATACTCTATACATTTTGTTAATTTCTTTCTGGAAATATTTATCTGTAACTAAAAATAATATAATTAGCTTTTTTCAATAATTTTTACATTATTGGTATAGTTTAAAATATTCAATATCTCTGTTTTATTATTATTGCGTTAAGTTTTTTTTATACAAACCGGGATGTGTTGTTGAAATCGAAGGATTTGAAATCGATCGATTTGAAAGTGTGCAAAACACAAATAGTTTTTTATTGATTTCAAGTCCAAATCGCTTTTCCTCACATACCTAAATAAAAATTTAAAATATTTAGAAAATAAATACATTTTTGAATATAATACAATTTGGATACTTTTTTGTTTTTATTCTTAACTGACTATATTTTCTTTCAGAATAATAAATTATAAAATTTGTTGGAAGAATTATAGTGAAATCGTATTATTAGTGAAAAGTTAAATATTTAGTAAAGTGTAAAATTTCTAAAATGTTTCTGAAAGAACGCATTTTTAGTGAAAAAATTTTAATTAAACCAGACATCTGGATCGATGAGCCAAACATTTATTTAATAATTGTTTAAAATCTACCGGAAGAAACACTAAACGAAAAATAATATCACAAATTTGGTTTCAAATCGAGTGACAGTTAAAATTTTAAATCAATTAGCAAAGTTACCTTATCTAAGACAAAAACCCATGAAATACAATTGTTTTTAGCAAACTGGCATCCCTATTATATATATCCCCCCTTCAACAATCATTGCGAAAAAAAAACTTTTCAACTAACAGTTTTAGAATCATTGCTTTTTGACAACTACTGTCAAAATACAAGAAGACAATTTGTTTTCTGTTGTAGTATTCATTTTCTTCTTGTTTTTTATTAAAACAAATCAAAATTTTTCCTTTTTTTCGTACATTAGTGGTGATGGTGGTACGTTCAACAAAAAAAATAATACAAAAAATGTATACATGGGACTCGCACAAGTTAATTAAATTCAATTAAATAAATCTCAATTTTATTTTGAAGACATAAAAAGTAAAATAAAGAATTAGTTTAACGAGCAATTGCCTGCAATTGTTTTGGACGTGTTGCTACTACTGCCTTTGCGTCCAGTAGTGGTGTGCTTTTCCTGCAAACTTTGATTTTATTCTGTTGCAGAAAAGGAGTGAACTACAGTAGCAGGTGTTTGCGTTATGTGTGAAAAGTTAGCAATTTAAGTTGGAACATCAACTGATACTAAAAAAGACTGTTTAGATGACTCGACTAATTGAGAGGGGTCAATTAACTATTCGGTAACCATTATCAGTTATTAAAAAAAAGCAAAGCATTGGATAGACGATGAACAATTAACATTTATAGATGATCAATGTTAAATGTTTATAACGAGCGAACGAACAGAATGCGGAGTGACTAAACTAAACATTTAATTTGATTCCTATGTTGGAAGCAGAGATATTTATATTATTCAATTGACTGCCACAATTCATATCAAAAGCTCGTAAATACTAGATGAAAAATTCCAGCTACAGTAATACGTCAAAATTTCTTATATTATCCTGCTTAACTGAAAATTTTGGATTATGGCGCAATTTAATTTGTAAGTTCAATATTTGTATAAACAAATGCTCTTATAGCTATTTATTTATTAGCTTTAATAACGTTTCTCTTTATTATACCTTAAGGTTCCTTTTTATAAATTCTCGCAAAAATAGTTTAATTTTGCGTGTCTTATGTCTGTTTATATTTAATCTAAATGGGACATTTTTAATGTTTACAGGGTGGGGAATTAGAAAGTTTTCATTTATTTTATAATATCAACTTAAAAATCATGATGGCCACCACCAATTTAGCTGTTTTTTAGTGGTTTAGTTTTTATGTCTCATGCACACCTATACTAGTGTTGTGTTTAACATTTTGTCGGGTCATTTTTTGTTAAATAATTCACGTAATTTTCAATGTTTATTTCATAATTCTAATATTTAACCAAATGTGTATTCTTATCAAAACTTTAGCAGTTTTTTCTTTCTTGCTCAAGTTAACCTTTAACTTTAGGAGAAATATTGGTTTCTATTTTGTTTTGTATAATATAAATAAATGAATTTTCTTTAAATACGTATTCTAAAGAACTTAGAAGTATGTATCTTATCTACATAAGTATTTAGGCAAACTAAAAAAAAATAATGTAATTCTATATATTTACTTGCACATAGTTTATCACAATATTCATACTGCTAGCTAAGAGTACAAGTAGCCTAACTCCATACTTATACATTTTATTGCCTTTTGACAAGATGAATGATAGATAGATAGATAGATAGATAGATAGATAGATAGATAGATAGATAGATAGATAGATAGATAGATAGATAGATAGATAGATAGATAGATAGATAGATAGCTCGATAGCTCGCTCGATCGCTAGCTACTCGCTCGCTCGCTCGCTCGCTCGCTCGCTTCGCTCGCTCGCTCGCTCGCTCGCTCGCTCGCATCAGCTCGCTCGCTCGCTCGCTCGCTCGCTGCTCGCTCGCTCGCTAGCTAGCTCGCTCGCTCGCTCGCTCGCTCGCTCGCTCGCTCGCTCGCTCGCTCGCTCGCTCGCTCGCTCGCTCGCTCGCTCGCTCGCTCGCTCGCTCGCTCCTCGCTCCTCGCTCGCTCGCTCGCTCGCTCGCTCGCTCGCTCGCTCGCTCTCTCGCTCGCATTCGCTCGCTCGCTCGCTCGCTCGCTCGCTCGCTCGCTCGCTCGCTCGGCTCGCTCTCGCTCGCTCGCTCGCTCGCTCGCTCGCTCGCTCGCTCGCTCGCTCGCTCGCTCGCTCTCTCGCTCGCTCGCTCGCTCGCTCGCTCGCTCGCTCGCTCGCTCGCTCGCTCGCTCGCTCGCTCGCTCGCTCGCTCGCTCGGATCGGTCGCTCGCTCGCTCCCTCGCCCGCTGTGTCTTCCTCCTCTGTTCCCCCCTGTCCTTTCTCCTTCTGTTGCCGCTTTCATTTTGTTGTCGTTCCCTCCCCGATCTACTACCCCCAAAAAGTAAATACCAGCAATTCACCATCGTCGGCCGAGCCTATTGATATTGGTCGTATTGATAACGACCATGTACCTCTGTGTTCAGTTAATGATGTTCAATTGCGATTTCTGGTACCAGACGATTTAACAGAGGTATTTATACTCGCTATAACACATTGTCAAGATTAGTTTTAATAACATTTCCCAAAAAGGTACGGACATTATGTCAAGATTGGTTTCCCATCGATTATCCTCTATCCTGGTACGAGGATATAACTTCCAGTTCAAGATTTTTCTCGTTAGCAGCTGTATATAATTTAGCAATTATTGGTTTAATTGTAGCCGAAATAAAACCCTATAGAAATCTTAATAAGGAGGTAAGTGTCAATATTGAAGCTATAGTCATTTAAAAATGTTATTTTTATGTTTTTTTTTTTTTTAAGGATAAAGGCATTTTACCGGATAGTATGGGTAAAACAGCCGATATTGGTTATATATTATCATTAGGTGTACATCGAAAACATCGCCGTAATGGTATAGGTTCATTACTATTAGATGCTCTTATAAATCATTTGACAACAGCCGAGCGACAGTCGGTTAAGGCAATTTTTTTACATGTGTTAACCACAAATCAACCTGCCATATTATTCTATGAAAAACGAAGGTTTGTATGTAGTCAAACATTTACTTTTACAAAGGAAGTATCATTTTTTGGAATCGACATTTAATCTGAAAGTTTTTTTTATAAATTGCGGAAATAAAAGTGAAAATCCCTAAAACTTTTCAGTTTTAATAATAATTGGACATTTTATCACTAAAACACATTTTATCACAAAGATTTAATATTAAAAAAAAAAATAATTAATTTTCATGACATTTCACCAAAAATTAGACTTTTTATTAACAAATCGACTTTTTGCTAGTAAACCGACTTTTTAACTAAGAAATTGGTTATTCACAAAATAATCGACTTTTTACAGAAATATCAACATTTCATTAGAAAATCATTTCTCACAAAATCAACTCTTTTTATCGAAAAAAAAAACGGCTTTTCATTAAAAATCAACTTTTTATTAATAAAAACTGGTTTCGAACAAAAAATCTACATTTCACTAAAAATTATATTTTACACCAATTTTTTTTCTTTAATTTTATTTATTCCTTTTCTATGTATTTGTTTAAAAATTATAATATTTAAAAAAAAATTTACAGATTTAACCTGCACTCTTTTCTGCCTTATTACTATCATATAAGAGGTAAAGGTCAAAGAGATGGTTTCACTTATGTAACCTATATAAATGGAGGCCATCAACCCTGGACACTATTATATCCTTTTCTAAAAATCAAATTAATCAATAAATTTTTTGCAATTTATAGGAATTTAAATCCGATTTAATAAATTCTATTTCCGATGGTTTCCTTAATTTCCTAGCACAGATCATATTAAGCATTATGCTTCCAAACTACGAAGAACTGGTGAAGTATTTAAATGGTTTTCATCACGTATAAGACAAGTGATACGATGGATATGTCATAAAACAGTATCACGATTTAATTTTGCCCACTAAACTACATACAACAAAGTAAGAAACAAACAAACATTTATTAAAACAAATTTAAGCAATAAAACTAAATGAAAACGTTTAAATAACATTAATTAATAACCTAAATGTAAATGTAAAAAAGAAATTATTTAAAACTAACAAACAAATGTAATAAATAACAACAAAAAAACATCAATGGCAAAATAACTTTTTAATTAATAACTAAATGTATATGTTAAACTGCATAAGTACGTACAATTTTTGATTTAATCAATTAAACGTACCTAATTTAAAAGTGGAAAAAATAACTAAAAAGGACTTTTGCTAAAACAATTAATAAAAAACTTAACATTTTTCCAAACAAGCCAAATTTTTTTCTCAAAATATTTAATATTTAAAAAAAAAAACTTAAATTATTTAAGTCAAACTTTAATTTTTCAAAAATTTCTTTACTTAGTTGTTAACTCAAAAGTCCCTTAATAGTATAACTACTTTCGACTAGTATAATTTTATAGTTATAATGCAAAAATGATAAAGAAATTTTATTTTAAGTACGAAATAATTCAATTCTACAAAACAACTAAAAAAAATCCGACAAGAATACATAAATTATTCAATTTATTTATTTATACATTACTACATAAATATAAAGTTTAGTTTTAATTTTTAAACTGTGGTTTTAGTTAATGTTACATTTAATTATCCACATTGTATTTTCATAACATGTTGTTAATTCTATTACCTCTCTTAATATATCAGTATACAATTACATACATACATAAAACATAAACATATGCAACAAAAAAGTCTAGCTACCAAATAATTAAATAAATTTATTAGTTTCGTTTTTTTTTTGTATTTTATTATAAAATAATAATTTTTATTTTAACTCAAACTAATCAGTATCAAAACAGTCTATTTTTATTTAATATTAATTATAAATAATTTGCTCTTATGTATTGTTTCTAGTTATTATATTGTTTATATTTAAATTTATATTTTAAAACTTTTATTATAGATTTTCCGTTTTTTTAAGAATTTCATTTAGACAATTTAAAAATTATTTTATTTTTTTTTATAAATTATTGATGAAATAAATTATTATAAATATATTTAAAACGAAAAAAATTATACGTTCTTCTCCATTTTTAAAGAAAAATTTATATTTTTATAGAAAATCTTCCATAAATTTTATAGTTTTATAAAAAAATTTCAATAGATTTCCTATTTTTATAGAAAATTTGGAAAATGTTTAAATTTTTTAGAAAAATTTTCAATCAATTTTCTATTTTAATAGAAAATATCGAAAAATTTTCTATTTTTATAAAAAAAATTCACAAAATTCGATAAAATATCTAGTTTTATAGATAATTTTCAATAAATTTTCTATTTTTATAGAAAATTTTTGATAAATTATCTAGTTTTATAGAAAATTTTTGATAAATTTTCTATTTTTATTGAAAATTTTCGATAAATTTTCTATTTTTATAAACATTTTTCAATAATTTTTCTATATTATAGAAAATTTTCGAAAATTTTAAATTTTTTTATAATATTTTCAATTATTTTTAAAGAAATTTATTTTTATAAAAACTTTCTATAAATTTCTTACTTTTTTAAAGAAAATATTTTGAACAAAGACACTAACATGCAAATGCAATGTCTACATTTAACATAATGTTAAAGTTAGTGTTATTGGATTTGTGCTAGCCGTAAATCAATCGATAAATTTTCTATTTTTATAGAAAATTTTCGATAAATTTTCTATTTTCGATAAATTTTTATATTATAGAAAATTTTCGATCCATTCTTATTTTTATTTCGAATAATTTTTTTATTTTTTAAACATTCCTCAATAATTTTTCTATACATATTATAGAAAATTTTCGAAAAACTTAAAAAGTTTTTTATAATATTATCGATTATTTTAAAGAAATTTATTTTTATAAAAACTAACATTCAAATGCAATGTCTACATTTAACATAATGTTAAAGTTAATGTTATTGGATTTAATCTAGCCGTAAAAGTTCTCTGTAATCACACTATACAAAATAACGTTAATTTTATTTTCTCTGTTATCAACACTTGATATTTTCCAATGGTTCTCAAACTGTATAGTTAATTAATTTTAACCAGAGATGAAAAATTCAGTACTATTGTACTTGTACAGTGGTATATTTCATTGTCAAAAAATATGTTGAAAACGATAAATTTCGCTTTAATTATTGAGTCCTTGTTTTTGTTTTAAACTTTTGAATAACCAATAGATTAGCTAAAAAACTTAACAATAAATAAGTCACTAGACTAATCAAAAAACTAGTATAGACTGGTGAAACAACTATTAACCAGAAAAAAGTACTCTCTTATTCGGAAGTTGGTACCATTTATAAACCTAAATTTACCATGTCTGATTTAAACAAAGTTTGACAAATATGTATCAGCTGTTTGGAAGTGTGATGGTAAAATTTATTTTGAGGTTGGTAGTGATTGATATTAACTCGTCAGGTTCGTTTCGTGCGTTTCTTTTATTTAGGAATTTTATATTCCATATTAGTCGTTAAATAAGAAAAATTTGTTAAAGTTAACCATTAATTAACCAACGTGCCGCATGGTAAAAGTAAATAAAAATACGAACGGATATCATTCGCTCAACTATTAAAACAAAAAATAAAGCAACAAAATTATAAAAATAAAATATAAAGGTCATTTTAGTGTAAATTAATTTATGTATATAGTGAAAGAGAAGTGAAAAGAAATTTTTGTATATATTTTAAATTAAAAAAAGCAAAGTGTAAATTTTGCGAGAAAAGTAAAGCAAAATAAAAAAAAAAGAATTAAAGCAAATTGAAGTAAATGTTTAAACGTGTATATAAAAGCCAGTAATTATGTTAAAAATGTTGAAATTTTCTATATTTTTAATGATTCTCTATGCACGCTATGCACAGTGTCTGTGGGGTAAGTAGATTTTGAGACACTTCCAACTTTTTCCTTTTTTCTAGTTATTGTTTTTTCCGCTGCTATTATACAATCACATTATGACAACAAATGTTTAGGGTATAATATTATTTAATAATTACGGTTGTAAACAGATATTGAATAATTTGTTTAAAGAAAATGTTTGGCTATAAAATTATGTACAACTGATAGTTTAATTAAAGTTTTTAATCGCCGAAGAAGATTAATTTATAAGTATGTATGAAGGTCTGCTGACATACAAACTAAAAGCTCATGTGAGAGTTTTTCATACATATTGATTCCATATTCATCTCAATTTATTTACTTTTATACATAGTTAAATAAACTGCTACCAAACAATTTGAACTTATTTATTATCTTATGTAATCAAATCTGTTTATATTAGATATACTAAATTTTTTAAAGTTCTAAGGCAAAAAGCAAAATTTTGCCAAAGTCACTTGATTGATAAAAAAAAACGAAAAACCAAAAACAACCACAATAACACCCCATATATACAACACCAGTCGGACGGATAGACAGACGTACTAAAATACGTAGTCGTCGTCGTGCAAGGTATTTTTGCATACGTTTTGTTTATTGTTTCTAGCAGCATAATAAATATTAATTAGTTAGATTTAAAAAGTATATATTTTTGGAAAACCAACAACAATTTTGTTGTTGTTTTTTTTTTTTTGCATTTATCACCGCTTTAAATTAAGCACATTGGTCCTCGTGTTATTTTATTATAACAGTTGTATGTTTTGCAACAGAGATGTCAATATTTCCATGTTGTTGTGAGAAAGTGTTGTCAATATTGTGTTGTTTTAGTGTAATTTCTTTTATCCGGTTAGAGAGGTAAAAAAATGAAAATGTTGTATCCTTTAGTTGGGTTTGTTTAAATGTTGTTTATATTAAATTTTCTGGGAGTTATTGGAAATGAATGAGAGTTTTTAACAATTCTCGGAAATGTTACATATTTAGATAGATTTTATTTTTAATTATTTATTTTTATTAAATATTTTCGAAATTTAAACTGTGTAAATGTTATATTTCGAATTCTTGGGTTTCCGTATAAAACGATTGATTTGTTAAAATTATGCTCTGTCATTCAGTACATGTTAAAATATAGCCAAAACAACTATATAATTTAGCTTGCTTTCTAATATTTTCTTTCTATAACTATTTCTAATCAAAATTGTTTTTGTTGCAAATTCTCTACTATATTTGTCATAGGTCTTATCTCTAATATCATATAATATAATAGTTATTTCGCATTTAGGTGTAGCATGTTATCAGCATATATAATATTTTCATATTTAAGCTTAAAGTTTTAATTGTTTTATATTTAAAATAAGTTATTCATCAGACAATTTTATTAAATTGGGATTTTTAATATCAATGTACGACATTATATGTTTTATATACATATTTAAAAAGTAAAGTTTTTTAGTGTACGTGCTTCTTTTTAAAGCATTTTTGACAATAAACTTGCGTTCGTGGTCTATATTATAATATTTAATAATTATTAAAATGTTTGACATTGTACTAATGCACTTTTCGATAATTTAAGACTTCATTATCTGTAAAAATATAAATATACCTATTTTATAGCGTTCTTTATCAATATAAGTATTTCTATTATAAATTAGTTCAAATGTCAATATGAAATACCCAGAAATAACCAGAATTAAAATATAAAGTTTAATGTCTAAGTATACGTCGATATCGAAAATAGAGTTCAATTAAATAGCGTTTTCCACTACTTTAAAGTAAACTTAGGAAATTTCCCGGGAATATATAATCCCAATATAAATTGTAAATGACTAGATTTCTGTTGGGATATACATACCTATTTTCATTATAACCCTCGTTATTTCTCGGATAATCGAATCATATTTCCAGAAATAAGGAACTCTATTCCAAAAGTACAGAGAATCATTTCAGATTCTTACACAGTTATTTTAATTAATTTCAACATTTAAATATTAATTTGAATTGAGTACACAATTTCATACATGATATTATTTTACAATTAAAATAACAGGTTTAGCACGTTTTTCCGGTTATTCACCTGCTCAGTTGTAATGTAAAATGGTCTATGTAACAAACAATTCAAAACACGTTTATAATTAAATATTTGTTTACTCTTTATATTTCCCGCCTTTTTTTTGTCATTATTAAAACATCTCGGGAATTCAACAAAATATTATTTTGAAAAATAGTTTTGCAAAAAAACATTTCAATAGTGGTTTAGAATTCAGTAATTTATATCTTATACAGATCTATGCACTTTAAAGTTTTGGTTTCGTTGTTTTAGGTTTAGTTGACAAAAATTTCAAATTCGGACGTCATCTCTCGGACAAACATAGAAGTTTACAGGATCACATAGATAGTAGATAGATAGATAGATAGATAGATAGACTAGATAGATAGATAGATAGATAGATAGATAGATAGATAGCTAGATCTAGCTCGCTAGCTCGCTAGATCGCTAGCTCGATAGATAGATCGATAGCTCGCTCGCTCGCTCGCTCGCTCGCTACGCTCGCTCGCTCGCTCGCTCGCTCGCTCGCTGCTCGCTCGCTCGCTCGCTCGCTCGCTCGCTCGCTCGCTCTCTCGCTCGCTCGCTCGCTCGCTCGCTCGCTCGCTCGCTCCGCTCGCTCGCTCGCTCGCTCGCTCGCTCGCTCGCTCGCTCGCTCGCTCGCTCGCTCGCTCGCTCGCTATCTCGCTCGCTCGCTCGCTCGCTCTCTCCTCGCTCGCTCGCTCGCTCGCTCGCTCGCTCGCTCGCTCGCTCGCTCGCTCGCTCGCTCGCTCGCTCGCTCGCTCCTCGCTCGCTCGCTCGCTCGCTCGCTCGCTCGCTCGCTCGTCGCTCGCTCGCTCGCCGCTCGCTCGCTCGCTCGCTCTCTCTCTCGCTCGCTCGCTCGCTCTCTCTCGCTCGCTCGCTCGCTCGCTCGCTCGCTCGCTCGCTCGCTCGCTCGCTCGCTCGCTCGCTCGCGCTCGCTCGCTCGCTCGCTCGCTCGCTCGCTCGCTCGCTCGCTCTCGCTCCCTCGCTCCCTCGCTCGCTCGCTCGCTCGCTCGCTCGCGCGCCGCTCGCTCGCTCGCTCGCTCGCTCGCTCGCTCGCTCGCCGCTCGCTCGCCTTCCTTTCTTCCCCCCTTTCCCCTTTCCTCCTCTGGGCCCTTTCCCGGCCCTTTTCTGCCCTTGCCGTTTCGCCTTCCTCCTTCTCCCTCTTTCCTTCCGCCTCCCCTCTTCCGCTTCTTTCCCTTTCCCCCTTCGTCTCCCGTTTTCCTCCTTTCGTCCTCTCCCATTTTTTTTTAAAAGACTAAAGGATTGTTAGCTTGAAAACACATAATAATGGTCGACATCCAAGTCGTTTGACATCATTAATTAAATTAAATATTTAAAATAAATAATTTTATTTTATAAGTAGTTTAATAGCATTTATAAAATTCGTTACATGTGAGATTTACAACTTTTTTTCTATAAAAAAATCATAAACTCGAAATACGCAAAATATTTTGCTGAATATTTTGGTTAAATCTTTTTTATTGAAGAAATTAGAGCCGGCTTTTTATAGTTGATAATTTTAATACATCTTGAAAAAAAAAAACAAACCAGTTTAAAATGTTTACGTAGTATTTATTATTAACTTTCGGTTGTTGTTGTTGCAGTATTTAAAGTGGCTAATGTAGCGTGTTTTATGTCAATGTTGGCGGCTTTGCTTATATTGCAACTACAGTGTGTAACATTTTCATTTTTACTATGAAGTTTTCATAAGTTGCATACAGTATCAAAAAATTGTTTGTTAGATTTTGAAAATGATGTTCTAGCATAATTTTTAAAGTTTAAACAACTTAATTGTTTTTATTTTATAAGTATCTATGTATTTGTAGTAGTAACCTAAAATGTATATATACTTTTTTGTTAGACTGATATTGGAAGATGTAAACAAAAATAAATTGAGCGCGCGTGGCTGTCGCAACTATAAACTATTAATTTTTTTTGTCAAATGAATGAATAGTATTTATTTTCATAAAATATATAAACAAAAATTTCAAGATGATTATAACTGGCTGTAACGAATCTTTTAATACACTTCAGTTCAAATTTTATTAGCAGGGCAATTAAATTGTTAATTATTAATGTAAAATGTCAACATAGGAAAATTTTTCAAATCAAGATCGCAAATCGGGCAAATAGATTTCGAATAATAAACTAAATTCCAAAAATGGCAGGCAATATTAAAAGTTCGAATTTAACATTTGTTGAACTACACTCAGATCTGACAATGAAAAATTGCATTAACAATATAGATAGTGTAGTCAGATCTGACAGAATTTTAAACACCGATTTTACCTATACTATAGATTAGTTTATAGATCATACATTAGTCTAGTCTATAGATGAATTCATATATAAACTGGACCATAGACTAATCTAATCTAGTCCCTAGACTAATTAATACACCATAGAAATGTTATTAGACTAATTATTAAACTATTAGAACTACATAAAATTTAAACGACTCACAATGACAATGAAATTGTCAGATTTTGCCACATTCTGATCACTTTTTTTCCTATAGATAAATGATCAGATTCTGATCACTTTTTTGTATAGATAAATGATCAGATTAGGAAAAAAGAAAAAAAGTGATCAAAATCTGATCTCGTATCTTAGGAAAAGAGTGATTTTTTCGTATGATCAGATTCTGATCATTTTTTTTGTATTAATAATTGATCAGATTCTTATCTTTTTTCTAAAGTAAGTCATCAGATTCCTATAGATAAATGATCAGATTCTGATCACTTTTTCGTATAGATAAATGATCAGATTAGGAAAAAAGAAAAAAAGTGATTAAAATCTGATCTCGTATCTTAGGAAAAGAGTGATTTTTTCGTATGATCAGATTCTGATCATTTTTTTCTATTAATAATTGATCAGATTCTTATCTTTTTTCTAAAGATAGTCATCAGATTTTTATAGAAAAGTCATCAGA